AGGCAGTATCAGCTTTTCACATACCCCGGAAAAAACAGCTTCAATCTAAATAAATTACACACATATACTTTCTCTGAATTGAGGTACCCAAAAGCAGATAATTAAAATTGTAATAATGTTATTTATACTTGTTCGATAACTGTCACAATAAAAACCGTTATCTTATATCATTTGGTTCGATGTAATATAATATGTATATTCATAATATCATGTAACTAAAGGTTTTTAACGATATGTTTAGTAAAATGTGTCACTTAAGATAACCTTCGTGTAATCATATGCTTTTGTAAATATGTTAAATTTATATATAAACCTATGAACCGGGAACTACATAATACAAGCTTTGATTTTTAGTAGATCCCCCACTTTATTGATTGATTTATATGAATGTATTCTCTGTTATAACTGTTATCATGTACATTATGTTTTCTATATTGTATGTTTAGTTATAATAATTACCATTATTCATTATGTTCAATTATGTTATCTTTGATAAAGTGAAATAAATAAACTTAAAAACTTGAAACTTGAAACTTGAAAGGAAAGATACAGGATGGAGGAAGAGGGAGACAGAGAGAGTGAGGGAGAGAGAGACAGAGACAGAGAGAGGTGGAGCTTGAGCATGCTGACAAGATGGGAAGAGAGATGAAGAATAGTGATAGAGAGAGAAAGAGAGCGAAAGAAAGAAAGATAGAGAGAGAGGGAAAGAGGTAGAGAGAGTGAGAGAGGAAGAGAGAGAATAGAGAGAGTGAAATAGAGAGGGGGGAGAGAGAGAGAGAGAGAGAGAGAGAGAGAGAGAGAGACATAGAGAGCGAGAGATAACGTAGATTTTCACCCTAAACCTGTTGGCTGATATTTAATATTCTGGTGTGCTTTTCTATAAAAACAAGTATTGACTATTTAAAAGTGTTCCGTCGAAAGTATTATATACAGACACGAACACTTATAAGAGGAGAAGATAAGAAACGTTGACAAGTGTTGGCATTTGATAATGATAACAATAATAGTTCTGATTAGCTGTGCAAGGAACCCTCATCAGTATCATTGCGTTTAAGGAAAAACAGGGTTTTGATGGCAGTGAGCATTGATTCGGCCATGTGGTAAGGTAAAGGACCCGCCCCCCCCCCCCACTCAGTGTTATTTAGGGTACGCATATGCTTGTTCCCTCTTTTTGAAAGCACCCCCTATCTGAGGACTGCCAACATTTCCGAACCCCCGTTTCGCGGGCTTTTCGCGGGCTTTGCCTGCCTTGGAGACCCCCTTTATCATGAAAAATGTTCAATGTACCCCCCTAAATTCGGAATAATTTCTCAGGAGTCCAAAGAGATGAGAGAAAAAACGAAAAAACACACCCTTTTCAAAGAAATATCCGGGTGAAAAGTTAATACACCCCTTTTTTTTTACAATTCTCGGGCCAGACTTTGTCGCACGAAAAGTACCCCTTTACCGGACATTTTGGTAACACGCATGGGGTCCGTCCGTTCTCGGAGTTGGGGGGGGGGGGGGGCGGAGGTAAAGGATGTTATGAATATGAAAGATACGGTCGCAAAGACTTACACGAAATCAACATTAAGATGGCACTTTTTGTGGCCTTGTCCATCACCATTTGAATTATTAGAGCGTGACAGTGACGTATTAGACGAACGTTATCTCTATGGATTCATTCGATACGGCATTGAGACTTTAAGTTGATTTTTGTCGAAAGTTTGCATCGATGTTGTGTCTTCCATGTTTCGTTTTCAGACTTTGAGCCATTCAGTATAATCTCCTCATTTTTTGGTTCAATAACTCTTTGTTCTAAATATCAAATACAACACGAATTGATGACAAGGAAAGGCAATAATTTTCACACAGCGTGTGCTCATCTATGTTGCATCACATGACGCCCAAGAATTTAAAAGAACAGTACACATTTTCTTTAGAGCGGGACTGCACTACTTGTCGCTACTTGCGCCCTCTATATAGCCAACAATGCCTAAGCGGTACCCGTTGATCCCCATGGTCCCCTTTTCTTATGTTAATTGAGAGCTGATGTGATGAGATAACCATCTGCCAGTGACCATGCAGGGAGGTCTAATCCCTCCAGACCAAACTAGTGCAGATAGGCTTTAAAATTTTCGAATTGGAACTCATGGACCATTTCAAAATTATGGTTATTTCAACGACATAAATTGACAATTCTTATTGACTTTTTAAAAATAAACATTCTTTGCTATACTTAAATTTCAACTTTATTTTTCACATTCCATCAAAAACATACCACCAATAACACAAATAATATGAAAAAAGCATATTACGTATATATATATATATATAACAATACAAACGAAAATGTGGAAGGGAACCGCAAAGGCCATTGGCCTTTCGAGGCAGAACCCTAAACAGATATATACATTCAATTCAATTCAATTCAAGGTTTTATTTCAATCAAACATAGAGTACAATGATGCACATGCTGCATCTAAAAAGCTGAAATGTATAAGTTTACAACTATTGAGGATACATATAAATAGAAAAGAATATCCATTCACAAAACATATCTACCTAATCATACAATGAAACCATGACAGATAAATACTGGTCGAAGATAAAATACTGGACAATGTAATACAAGCACATAATATATCGTTCACCACTTGGTGGTTCTAGTAAGATTTATAGTCAGATCGAAAATATTGAATTTGAAATCAAAAGATATTGGAGTAATACAAAATAACAAACTTCGAAACTTGCATTCCTAGAAATGTAATATTTTGTGACGAACTAGTAACTCTTGACATCCAAGAGTGTAGGTCGTTAAACAAAATTATATACCTCATTTTAAGATTCTTTACTAATCCTGTCTTCTGATTGGTTGAAAATGCAGTCATGTTCTTAACCATGCCCGCTAATTGAAATTCATAGTCATTTTTCACGGCTCTACCGGTTTATATCAATTTTTCATAGCACTTTTTCCATGGCCGTGAAACGTGACGTCATTTTGCTGCGATCCCCATTTTGGTTTACGTGTTACCGTATAAGTTTCTTTTGTGCGATGACCGATGCGCAATACCGTTAACGGTGTTTGAGTGCAATTCGATTTTGGTCGCTGCATTCAGGCGACGAATCTACCAATCCACGCAGCGCAGACGACCGATCGCCATTTTGTGTACTAGTCTCGATCGCAAAATACTGGGGTTTTTTGTTTCCAATTTTTTGTCAATAAAGAGGCAAAATGGAGGACACAGCTATGCCAAGATTTCAACTTATGGATGACATTCAGCTGCAAGACTTAATCGATTCTGCTGATAGCAAAAATACGAAGTATGCAGTAAAATACGGCATTAAAATATTTGAAGAGTTCTTGCGAAATGTCAACACGGACCTCGGAGATGTAAACAGACTTCCGAATGCAGACCTGGACAAGATCCTTCAAAAATTCAAACGCACAGTCTGTGTAAATATGTTGCGAATTTGTGAATTTATAAAGTTACTGTTCATGTTCTACTGTTCTACTGGAGCACAGCTTGTTGGTGATATCATCCTGTACAAAAGTTACTGTTCGTGTAAACGTGTTTGGTATTCCCTGTTCTACTGGAGCACAGCTTGTTAGATTTTATACTGTACACAAGTTATTGTTGGTGTTAATATTCATGACTTCAAAGAGATGGAAACCTAAATGGGTGAGTCAACATTTTCCCTTTTTTCGGTATATAAAATATATATTGACTGCTTTTAATATTCGAGGCATAGTTGTTTCTATAGGGTCTCGGGAAACTCACAACCTGCTATGACCCCGCGGCGCAAGCGCCTTGGGGTCATAGCAGGTTGTGAGTTTCCCTTGACCCTATAGAAACCACTATGCCTCTCAAAGCAGTCAATATATCCTTAATAATAATATTGAATTTCTTGGAAAGCAAGTTTCGAAGTTTGTTATCTTGTACCAGTTCAATAACTTTCGATTTCAAAATAATACATTTTCGATCAGACTATAAATCATATGTTTTATTATTAAAACCTATAAATAGATAAATTCATAATTTATGTCAGGGAATGGCTTTCCCAATAGTAATCAAATCAGCATCGCACTGTACGTGTTGTTATAGAGCAGTGAAGCGCGCGCGTCTGACCCAGTACACGTACAAATAATGATGTGCGGTACCGCATCCTTTATATAAATATTGTTGACAACAAGCGGGAAGGAGAAGCTTGAGCAAAAGGGACTCTCCATTCTTTTGACAGAGGCGGAACAAATTGTGTATCAATAGTTATCCTGTCATTGATGGTTGCGCTTTGGAAGGACTGGCCTTTTTCAACAGGACCTGATCTCACATTCGAACATTTTCCATGTTAGTATTTAGAAGGTGGTTACTCTTATAATATATTGCTCTTTCTTCACATTTCGGAGGGCAATATGATATTGCGTGGATGTTTTTTTTAACAGACCTGGGGGTATTTCATGAAGCTGTTCGTAAAATTAGGCATGACTTTAGTGAGCACTCATTTTTGTTCATGTCTGCCCCCAGAAATTTTAAAATCGCGCCGGCCGATATTTCGCTCAACACCCCTCGAGCAAAAATAAGGGTATATTTCTGGTCACCATTTTTTTTTTTTTTTTTTTTTTTTTTTGGGGGGGGGCGTCTATTTTTTGTTGGGGGAAGGGGGAGGGGGTGGCAAAGGCCCGCTCGCCTCCCCCTGCATCCGTGCCTGATAGCTGCAGCAATGTTTCGCCAAATTCATATAAGTAATCAATATATTCAGAGGAAGGGGCTGAGCATCTTTGAAGGGGGGGGGGACAACACTTTCTGGAGAAAAAAAGGGGGGCACCTATACTACGAAAGGAAACCTTTACATCTCTTTACATGATCCAAGTTACTGTTTAAGCATCATACATTGCAGGCGGATGTAATGGTCTGAATATTCATTTCCAAGGGAGAGAAGGTTCAAAAGATTGATAAGTTTATTTTCTTTTCATCGCTTTTCAAACAGATTATGAAAGATCTCGTCTGCAATCAACGAGAAACCATGGCTCAGAGACCGATGCTGATTGTGACTGTCATCCTGTGTACGGCTTACATTGTATCTGCACAATGTCCGGGCATATGTGATTGCAGTAGCTACAATAGTCGTAAGGAGATTCGCTGCGGCACCAGGGACCTCACATCAATTCCAAGCAATCTTCCCTCAGACACGCAGATTCTCCGACTTGAGTTTAACCGCATTGAATCTATTAGTTCAACTGATTTATCACGGATGGTAAATCTGAAGCGACTCACGCTTTACAATAACATGATATCGTTCATCGATACTAATGCTTTTGCATATCAACAAGATCTGGAGATACTTAATCTGAAATATAACAGGATCCGATTCATTCATAGCCAAACATTCCGAAACATGCAAAAGCTAGTCGAGCTGAGCTTGGACAATAACCTGTTACAGTCCTTCGGAAACGACACCTTCAACGGTTTGGTGAAATTAAACGAGTTAGAAATAGATGGAAATCCGTTGCAGTCCTTGCCTGAGGGAATCTTTAATGGCCTCACAAACCTGCGTCTCCTTGATATTTCTAATGTTGTTTTCGAAGTCATTCCATCCAATCTCTTTGATGGACTGACTAGCTTAGAAACCCTCAAGATGAACAACGTTACTCAGAATGGGGACCACCTCTTCAGTAGTGAATTCATTTTCGCTTCTGTTCCTACTCTAATCACGTTAGAGGTTCGTCGGAATTCCTTACATTGTCTTCCGGGGTCTCTTGCAGTACTCAGAGCTTTAAAATTCCTTCAACTATCCATGAATCCACTAACCTGTAGTAATTTTACCGTACTTAAACACCTTCAGCGTCTCGAAGAACTGCACATGGAGGACTCTGGAATAACTACGTTATCCTCAAACATGTTTGTTGGGAACACCAATCTCGTCTTCTTGTTGATAGAGTACTCGAGTTTGTCTACAGTGGAGGAAGGTGCATGCGTTCACAGGACTCAGTCGACTCGAAGATCTGTACCTCTCTTCCAACAACATTACTACTTTGCCAGACCACGTATTTGATTCTCTTCCTAGTGGTGTCAACCTTGATATCGCCGACAATCCTTGGGATTGCGACTGTGATCTACGTTGGTTGCATACTTGGTTGATGATGTCGTATGCAGGCAACACACCTGATGACCGTCAACCAGAGTGCGTATCACCGAATCGCCTGATTGGTCAGCGAATCCTTGACATTGACGAAAGTGAGTACGCCTGTATGCCTCAGACTGAACTCAATGAGACAATGACGCACTCGGTCAATGAAGGTGAAAACTTCGTAATAGAATGCAACATTACAGCGGATCCATCACCTGATCTCCATTGGCTAACACCTGATCATACCGAGCTGTTTCCTAATACCAATCAGATCCCTTTCATCGTTGACTCAGAAAGCACTCTTACTATCATACGAATCAGAAAGGAAGATGATGGAACCTACAGTTGTACTGGTACAAATGCGGCAGGAACTTTAAACATTCGAAACGTTGTTAATGTTGTTGGGACAGGGAATGCGCCTATATTAAAGACTGATCCACATCTTCAATCTAGCACAACTATAACTTCTCAGCAGAGTGAACCACTAAAGGGTGACGAGAATTCAACGTTAGTGATCAGCATCGCTGTTGTTGCTTTCCTCATTATACTAGTTGTAGTGGTCGTGATTGTCGCAGTCATTCTCAGAAGGAACGGCGATGATCGATATACAGATACTGATACATTACAGCGTCAACCAACAACATCTGTGTTCGATCCTCCATCTCACTATTCCACTATACCACTATCACCGAACGATGACATATACCAGGAGATAAAACATGAGGATGACTTGTATGAGAAGCCTCGAGAGCCTGGTGACATGTCTCCAGCGTCAATCAGACCCGACCATACCTACATGGCACATGTACTCCGTCAAGACTCGTTTGTTTCGAATGAAAGCGGGGGCGTCCCAGCAGGTTACGAACGATCGATGGTACGCGATGTCGGCAAACCAAAAAGTGACACCTCATCAACTCCTGGTTCAGATGGTGGTTCAGATCGGCCGGCTAACGGTGCGCAGAGAAATATCTATGTTGCTACGAATGATCGGAAGGGTAACAACCGACAGAGTAATGTAGAGCATAACGAAATGCGAAATTGGGTCCCAGATCTCCATCCAGAAGCGAAAGCGATGTACGCAAACATAAAACGAACCTAGCTTTAAAGAGGCATGTTCCCCGTATTCCAGAGGGCGTTCAAAATACGTACCCGCTGGCGGACGGTGCTAGCTGCCTATTGACACCAACAGAATACGGCTCTTACGCAGATGGCATGTTCCGAATGCCCGGACAATACCGATTATCGCATACATGTGCCGAAGTAATGCCAATCGCAGTTCGGCTCTAAGATTCGGCTGCTGTTTCCGCCCACTTTCGTGACGTCGCGATCGTCAGCGATCAGCTGGCTTGGCGAAGGCAGGCCAGGCCGCGCGTACTTTGATTGACAGATGTATGCAAATTAGAAGTCGATCTTCGGAACCAAGATGGCGATGACTAGAGCAGCGATAACTACACTGGCGGGAACGTGCCACTTTAATATTCAGCACGGTCAGGTTGAGTGAAAATATCCTAACTCTACAAGCATGCATGCATGTATTTACCTTGACCATATGCCTATACACGGGTTAATTTGTTACTATATTAGGTACCTGTTCAATTTAAGTACTATTATAATTTAAAGAAATGTTGGTACAAATCATTTTAAAGATGTTGGGCAGTGCATGGTGTAATGAGCAAAAAACTTTTTTGATCGCAGAAAGATAAACGAACCGGAAAATCATTTCAGCAGCATTTCTAATCACTGGTATTGAATAAGAAATAAACCACATTTCAATTGTATCGGGGGGGGGGAACAACTGCCCCCAAGCTACCCCCCCCCCTCCCCTTCCCACCCATTAATCCGCCAGTGGTGTTGGGTAAATATGTTTAAAATTTCGATCAAAACGGTAAGATGATTAAAAATCAAATTGAAAACCCCGAAATGATAGCATGGACGGCACTTGTTCCCTTTCGAAACCCCGAACATACCGCGGTGTATGCAGCTGAAAATAATGTAGCGTCTTATTTTGTTTACAAGCAACGGATTCCTTAACTTTTTAATCAAAATAATACCATGCGCGGGGTTTATAGTGATTCAATAGATTAATCATTTAGCCTGTGGGTAGTGGAGTAAGAAAAATAACTGAAGAGAAGATGACAGAACAGGCACTAAAAATGTGTGAGATGTCATGGGACATCGTCTCCTTGAGCAAATCATGTTTAACGTGTGACGTCATACATCTCAGCAGCGATCGGAGAGCTTTCCAAGCGCTATGGGGCTGTATATTTAAGCGTTTTGTATTTGATAATAATCGTTACTTTGAATGTTTTCAAGCATTGAATTTTGATACATAGTCCAATCAAAGTTTCACAATAATAAAATGTATACATAGATAATAACATGTAATTTTGAATATGCACACTGGTCTTTGTACGATATCAGGCAGATCAGGATAACGTACGTTTGTGAAGAAGTGTCGTCAGATAACAAATCAAATAGCATTTATTTTTTAAGCACGATTTGGGTGCGATATTTACTCTTATTAATCTGAGATACCAATCAAAATTGTATAAAGATGTCATTGAATACTTATACTGCTGTTTATGGAGTGCTTTATCGTACATTATAATGTTTACGTCGTGGTAGTTGCACTCTGGTAGGTAGTCTGTGATAAAAGAATTTTTAGTACAAAAAAAAATATGGAAAATGCTCACAGGTGTTTGTACAATATCGGGTAGATCACCATAGCGTTTGTGAAGAAGTGTCGTCAGATAACAAATCAAATCAAATTTATTTGTTAAGAGCTGTTTATAAACAAAATCACTATATGCAGGATTCTCGGGTGTGATATTTTATCACTTTTATGTGAGATATCCATCGAAAGTGTACAAAAATGTCAATGAATGCTGTGGTTAATGGAGTCTTTTATATGCACATCCAGTTTCAACGCAGATATAAATTAATCTTTTTGTTGCGAACGTGCAAAGTTATACAATATAATATTATATGTGATATTAATAAAGTCTTGATTTTAGTTATGGTATTACCGAATTGAAAATGGTCTGTTCATGTTTTTAATAGCCTACATGGCATGTAACAAGATACAAGAAACCCCACGAATGAACCAGAGAGAGTGAAATAGAGAGAGAGAGAGAGAGAGAGAGAGAGAGAGAGAGAGAGAGGGAGAGAGAGAGGGGGGGGGGGGGGGGGGGAGGAAATGAGAAGATAAAAGAGGTGATAGAGATCGCTGAAAGGGTTGATCTCCAATATCTCGAGTAGCTTGAGTAATTCTAGATAAACAAATAAGGGCGAGGTTGAAATAGTGCAAGAGAGTGGGAAAAGATAGGGAGAGGGAGAGGGCCAAAGAGAGAGAGAGAGAGAGAGAGAGAGAGGTGCTAGAGACTGCTAGAGAGAGAACTATTCCACTAGGCTTGTAACGAAAGGTTTTCATCTACATGAAAAGAAAATAGAAACAAATCTATTTTGTAAAATGTTTCTCATATTTTATCACCCAATCTCATCTCGGTTTATTGGGAGCCGGGGTTATTGATCATTGGTTAAAGAATTTGGATTGAAATCTATTCTGTCAAATCATTCACCGAGAGAGGGAGACATATGCATTAAGCTCAATCATTTATATTGGGTTTGGGCCTCATGGAATCCCTAGCAAGATCAACGTGATAAAGTAATGTTGTTTAACACTCGCTTTACCGCTTCAAGTGTCCAACTTTTTCAATAAGATGGATTTAATAGGTAAACCTGAAAATTGAGTAGACGAACTAAGACTTGGGTGGGTGGGGGGAAGGGGGTGTTTCATAAAGCTGTTCGTAAGTTACGAACGACTTTAAGCACGACTGGTGATATGTTCTTGTGCTACATGTAAATGATTGAGAATCTGATTAGCACCCATATGTTCCAGTCGTGCGTAACTTACGAACATCTTTATGAAACACCCCCCTGGGAAATTGCAATAAGGGGTGATGAGGGAGGAGGGCGGGCCACCAGATAGCATATACTCAAGATATAGTACTGGGCCGTGATCATATTATTTCCTCTTTAGCAATCTCTATCACCTCTTTTTCTCAGTTTCCCTCCTCTCTCTATTTTCCCTTTCTTATGTTTCTTCGTGGGGCTCCTTGTATCTCGTTGCCATATAGGATATTAAAAACATGAACAGACAACTTTCAATACCATGCAAGCCTTAAATAATATAACACAATATATAGTTTTGTATTTTCACATAGAAATATATATTTAGATCTCTGTCTGTCTCTCTCTCTCTCACACAAACACCGCCACTTTTGCTCTCTCTCTTTCTCTCTACCTACCTCTTTCTCTCTATCTCTGAATGTTGAATACCACTATAAAAGTGCGTAATAAACATGCCAATCACATGTACATCCTAGTCCTATACAATTAGTCTTTAATTTGCTGTATCGTGGTTGACGAGTAAAGGGTATTCTTTTTTTCAAACGTCTTAATAAACAAATAGAATTATTTTTCTTATAGCAACATCGTTATCACAGACCCATACATAAATATAGAAAAAAGAATTCTACAATCATCTTCCAAGTCAATTTGAATCGATGTTTTCCTTAGTTATCTTAATGTAGCAAACAGGTCATACATACATGTATTTAGTTAAAGCCTTATCATGTCCAACTTTTTAATTTTCGAGTAATATTGAACATGTATTGTATTGTATTGTATGTATTAAACTTCATTGATGTACATCAATATTCTGTTTATAAACATATAATCACTTTACAATGCAATGTAACAATCAATATTCTGTTTGGGAACACATCATATAAGTCGATTTACAAAGTAATGTAACATGTAATATTCTGTAAACATATATACCGTATAAATCAATCAACATGATAAAGGATATCCGATCGCAAAAAGATAAAGAGAAACAAATTAAATCTCCCAACATCTTCTGTATTGTATACGCATGCCACTTTAGTGTATTTTAACATTTTTAACGAACATTTTAACCCCCCCCCCCCCGCCCCCACCTTGAACGCCAGGGGGTGGGGCCATCCCCTAAAAAAAGTTAAAATCACGGTTTTTTACACATTTTTTTCTCCCCCCCCCCCCCCCCCCCCCCCCCCATTTGTCTATTTCCCCATGTCCATTTGCCCATTCCTGTCTCCCTTCCCCTTCCTATCTTGTTCCTTTTGTCCCCTCCACTATCCTCTCTCTCTCTATTCTTCTCTTGTCTCCCGCCCCCTCCCCAAATCTCTCTCTTTCTCTGTCTCTGTCTCTGTCTCTCTCTCTCTGTTCATCCCTCCAGCCCTCCCTCCATCTCATAATCTTTCATTTATCTTCCACCTGTCACCCAGACCTTCTATCCATGCTTAACCATTCCACTACCAGTAACAAAAGACACAAATGCATTCATTCAATATTCCATACATATATTAATTTGAAAAGAAAAAAATATAGTCATTTCGAATATATAATGACATACACTATACATGGCAACATATTGTACTGTATAATACCATGCTTGGTATTATATGCAAACATTATCTAAATAATGTATTACATGATTGTCGTCCATAAAGTCCTGTCAAAAACTGTCATACAGTAATTCTTTAATCATCAAGTTTGACAAGCATGTACATGTGTAGGACTGTCAATATATTATTATTATTACATCACAATACCTGATGCCACAGAATTCAAGAATATTTTTTTGTTTTCAGATCCATTTTAAAACATATTCAATCAAATCTTGTCCACAAAGATAAACTAAATATCTCCTTTTAAAAACAGGTCATGAAATGCATAATATTTTCTTCAAAACTTATAATAATGGGCAGCAATTCATGACACTGTCATAAGTACAAGTTTGCCAACACTATTGAAAAACATGTATTAAATTAAACGTGAATTTGAATAGAATGTCGACAAATGACCAATGACCGTTTCATATACTGATTTCCTGTACTTCACTCGGACTAGCAATATAACTGATATTAATGTTGGATGAAAAAGCGTGGAAATTAATCTTTTCTGACGACAATTTGTTCCTATTTTCACAAAGTGAGGGTAGTGAATGAAAATCGCATACAATTTGCATGCATATTTTCCTCACTACCGTCACTTCGTGAAAATAGGAACGAATTGACCCTTAAGCGATAAACATTGTAAGAGCATATTTGACTCTTTCTAATCGATTTTCCCCAATACTTGATTTGTTTAAAATTGCTTGAAGAATCATGTCAGTCCATGAATTGTGGTTATCTTTATATTTGGAAGACATATGGGCTAAGATATTCACTAATTTCACAACCAATTTCTTTGACCAAGATTGTGTTGTATCCTATTTGGAATGTCCTTTCCTTTTCATACACATATTCATCATTTTGAAATACATGTCATAAAGGTGATCTTCCTAAATTTTAATGGTGAGCTAAGTTTCATTCAAAAGATATAAATGATTTCCTCAGCACAGATTTGATCCAGGTGCATATGACTATGATTAGGCAAAATTAGAATAAGGGAGTTTACAGATACAATCTGCGCATGGGCAGATAAAGGTCATTTGTACCAAAAAGGTAAAACACACAGAGATGAATACTGGATATGCGCTCATGAAAGTTTTGTAACATTATTCATTTATGCACCAATGGTACATTCTATGATACGGAAGTATTCTTTTCAAGAGGGCAAACAAAAGGTATTCATGAAGCACATCTAGGACTTTGGCAGTTTTTATTCTAATATGCTCAAAGTGGAACTTCTCCATGTGTAAAAGATCTGTGGATATTTGGGGTCATTTGTACCATGTGCTATCTGAAAACTTCCTCATAGTTGCTAAGCAAAGTGATTCATGTTGACCTCAGATCACAGGTGGCTCATATCATCTACAATATGACCAATAACAGCTATAGCTTCAATCTCTACTTGACCATCCTGCAAACAAAACAGAAGATAAACAATATCTGAAGAACTCCTGCAAGAAGACAGCTGAATATTGTGTGTCATAGGTTGGTGCAAAATGGTCCACACCTCAAATTCATCAAAAGGAATAATGCACGTTTAGACAGCTTAATGAAAGGAAATTGGACATAAAACAGCAGCATATTAATGAAGGAATGCAATTAGTTTAGACCTATATATCAGGCCCAAGTTCATAGAACTTGTTATCAATGAGAGTAAACTATTGAAATCCTTGCATTTGATTGCCTACGAACAGATTGGTCATAGACATATAGTATATCTTGCAATTGTCATCAATAAGGAGTTTAATGAAACAGGGCCCGGGACTTAACTCAATGTATTTACATGATGTAGTTTGACTTGATATGACAAACATTTGTCTTATACCACAACCAGTTATATCTCTTGTACTGTCAACAACTGGTTCAAACTAATTTTGTTTGGGTTGTAAACTTGTAATGTAGTTATTTCAAGTCTCATCATAGTCCTCCACATCAGATATCTCAAATAACTTCAACTATGTATGATGAAGGAAGAACATTTCTTAGCAGACATAATCAAAAAGTATACATGTAGTCAATGATTTGTTTTGCCCACTGTGTGGATTACACAATACATGTACTTACCAATGGGAGACGGGCAACTTGATAGGCAGCTCTAGCAGGAGGATTTTTGGGAAAAACTAGAAATGGAGAATATATATATAACACAATTATATCAATAGGCACAGCAAACACATTCAGGTAGTTAAACTTTGTTATTTAAATCAATATATTGGAAAGCTAGTAGCAAAAAACATTCACAAATTGAAATAATTCACAATTATTCTTCAATTATTTTGCAGTACAAAACCCATGGAAATCTTAATCTCTAGGGAAATTTGTGAAAGTTTCATTTCAGAAATATTTCAACCCCAAAATCAAAAGTATAAAACATGCAGATTTAGCCAGGAGGCCTTGATACATGTACATGCATGTAGAATCAATAGGTTATGTTCAAGAACCATATACCGGTATTCTATTACAAGTAAGCATTAAATACATTGTATTGACACAAGTATACATGTAGGCAGTCGAAAAACATAGAGAATGAAAGGTTCAAACTTAAGACTGGAATTAATCACCCAGGATTATTAGAAAAGCCCTAGAATGATCAGGATGATTTGGAAGAATATGTGTAGGTGGTATGGTAACTGTGGTCTAGGGGATCGGGTGGTATGATGACTGTGGTCTAGGGGATCGGGTGGTATGGTGACTGTGGTCTAGGGGATCGGGTGGTATGGTGACTGTGGTCTAGGGGATTGGGTGGTATGGTGACTGTGGTCTAGGGGATTGGGTGGTATGGTGACTGTGGTCTAGGGGATCGGGTGGTATGGTGACTGTGGTCTAGGGATTGGGTGGTATGGTGACTGTGGTCTAGGGGATTGGGTGGTATGGTGACTGTGGTCTAGGGGATCGGGTGGTATGGTGACTGTGGTCTAGGGGATAGGGTGGTATGGTGACTGTGGTCTAGGGGATCGGGTGGTATGGTGACTGTGGTCTAGGGGATCGGGTGGTATGGTGACTGTGGTCTAGGGGATCGGGTGGTATGGTGACTGGTCTAGGGGATCGGGTGGTATGGCGACTGTGGTCTAGGGGATCGGGTGGTATGGTGACTGTGGTCTAGGGGATCGGGTGGTATGGTGACTGTGGTCTAGGGGATCGGGTGGTATGGTGACTGTGGTCTAGGGGATCGGGTGGTATGGCGACTGTGGTCTAGGGGATCGGGTGGTATGGTGACTGTGGTCTAGGGGATCGGGTGGTATGGTGACTGTGGTCTAGGGGATCGGGTGGTATGGTGACTGTGGTCTAGGGGATCGGGTGGTATGGTGACTGTGATCTAGGGGATTGAAGTAACCACTCTCTGAATAACAAGCTAGAGGATTTCAGTCCTGGCCACAAAACTACTAAAATCTTACAGTTAACAAGGGAAACGCTCTCGGCGGTCTCGCCTGCATTACGCAATTCGATATGATGAAAAATTGAGGTTGGAACATTATTTATAGGCACGGTGACCCATTAGCAGGCCCCACAAAATGAAATCCTTTTGAATATAATCAGCATTTTGAAGTGAATATTGACTAAGAATCATCAAAAGAATTATTTAATATTAATTGTACCACGATCGATAACTTGAATGAAATATGAACAAATTAATATAAAAAAATGATTTATTAATTCTCATATTAAGTTTTGAAAACATAATCCAAGTCTACTGACCTAAAATGACCTTTGACCTTGTGACCTGGAATTTGTGTCATATGATTTGTGATACTTGATAACCCTTGTGTACAAGTTACATGGAATTTGAACAAACAATTTTGAAAATATGCTAAAAATTCAAAATCTTGATGTTGATGCCACAACAAATTTTAAGTGTGTTGACCTAAAATGACCTTTGACGTTAACTTAGTGACCTGAAATACTGATCACTTGATTGGGGATACTTGATAACCCTATAGTCCAAGTTTCATTGACTAAGAACTTAAACATTCAAAATTATATAAAAAATTCAAAACCTTAGCCCTAGGTTAAGATTTTGATGATGATGCCACAACATAGTCCAAGTCTGTTGACCTGAAATGACCTTTGGCCTTGACTTTGTGACCTGAAATTCTACTCACATGATTGGGGATACTTGATAACCCTATAGTCCAAGTTTCATTGACTAAGAACTTATACTTTCAAAATTATATTGAAAATTCAAAAACTTAACCTTAGGTTAAGTTTTTGATGTTGACGCCGCCGACGTCGCCACCGTCACCGGAAAAGCGGCGCCTACATGTATGTCTCGCTTTTTTGCTACGCAGGCGAGACAAAAACTAAATTATTCATACCCTTACCAAGTTTTGTCATTTTTTAAGAGTGTCAAAATTGATTTGTCCCGACTTATGTTTCTTGGTATAAAAGTATTTAACAAAGGCCCTAATTCACTGAACCGATCCACCATCCATCGTTGAGTTACAAAAAACATCAAATCTACTAAGGATATGAATAATTCAGTTCTTAAAATATAAGAAAATCAATGAAAGCTGAAACATGATTAAACTTGTTTAAAAATATATTTGTTGTAGAACATATCTGTAAATATGGTGTCACTGTTATGCTGTATTCATACATTACATATTACACTAAAAGCCTAAAAACAAACTGTTGTGGCAAAATATAAAAAGAATTGAGGGTGATACATATTTTGCACTTCATACAGTTTATCGTAAAGGCCCAAATTCACAAAAGAGGTTTACATTTAACCCATGCTTTAATCCTCGCTTGGTATTCACAAAGAGTTCTTTGTGAATTCGGGCCATTGTCTAGTCAAGAGCAAAATCGCATAAGAACTTTCAAGAAAAACATTTGAGATATTACTTACATCTAGAATAAACAGCATTCATCTTCTGGAAGTCCTCTAAATCCGCCATGAGTACAGTCGTCTTCACAACTGAATAAATTATGGAATACAAGTCAAAACAATAAATATACAAATTTTAAAAGAAGGTTCAGTTTGTTGTTAAAATGTTATTTTTTCTTTAATAGCTCTCCACAATCGCCAACTCAATCACATTACTTTTTGTATGTACAAAACTTGGCATGAATGATGATGCTCCACGTTACTTGCAGGAGAATTTGATTAGAATACTGTTAAAGAAACTGACCACTTGTACAGATACCTGGTCAGTTCATGCAATGGGACATACCATCAGCTGTAGCTACATACTACATCTCTTCTTAATAAATATATGATTCAAAGATTCAAGACTCAAATGATTTTATTTCTCATGCATAACATAATACAATGAATCAAGACAAATAAAATAGTAATGATACAAGAAAATATGATCTAAATAAAAGCCAAGCTTGTTGAAGTATTAGTTCCGATAGGCTGTATTACTATAGGTTCGCTTACTTCTAACAACCATTTATACTTTCTTAGCAGTCAGGTAATCACCATTATTGTAATTATGGAACTTACCCAGTACATATCATTGTATGAGGCCACAGCTTACTCTTTTTGTTGTCATTGTTGTTTGTTTGTCGTTGTTGTTGTGTTTTTTTTTTTTTTTTTTTTTTTTTTTTTGGGGGGGGAGGGGGTCAGTTATGTTACGAAAGAGCATAACAAATGAAACCAATTACATTACCATTATTGTAGGTGAGTCCTTGGCTCTTGAGAACCTCTCCCATATTTTTCAGAGCCTGGAGACATACAGAAATTAAAAGAACATAACAAATTTAGGTTACAAGTAAAAATACAAAATATTGTTTGCTTATTTTATTTGATTATCACCAAGAATTATCCCATATCATGAAGTGAGATGAGGCTTCATGTTTGCTAGAGAGAGTGGACATGTGTTGCTGAAACATGTTTACACAATTTTCAGGCAACATTAACACTCCATCTGCTAGGGCTACTCACTGAACCTCTACACTGCCGTTGTTTGGGGTCATAGTTAATTATACACACTTAAAGGTAAAGACCAGTTTTGGAAACGCCCCCCTCTCAAAAAATGAAGTGGAAGCTCTTATTACCAATCATGTGAAAGAATATGTTTTGATTAATACTTGATCATACAATTTTTTGCCGAGAAACCGCCTACTAATTGATATATTTGGTAAATTATTATATCTATTTGGACCTGTTAGATATAACACATGTGTCACGCACATGTGCGTATTCCCATATACATCTTACAGTGCTTGTAAATTTACCAAGACTGGGCCAAATTTCTTATCATTTTGATGATGCCAGAACCTTGCAGTACACACCAATACTGATCAACCTTTTTCTGATCGATTCCACAACGTTTCTTTCACGATGCAATCGCATGACCAGAACTCAACCTTATCTTTTAAGAGAAGGTTGAGCTCCGAGGAAAGGTGAAAAATCATTGTTATTATGCAAGTACATGGAAGAACATCAGAGAAAAAATGTTCCCTGAAAAGCATGGCTCATCAAATGCTCCAAAATTCTAAATATGACCAGTAACAGTTTAAAAAATAAGGCCCAATTTTTATGCTGCATGTTTATGTAGTCCCATATACATGTACAGTTTCTGTGTACAGTGCTTGTTACTTTACCAAGACTGTGCCAAATTTCTTATCATTTCGACTACAGAACCTTGCAGTGCACACCAATATGCTACATGATCAACTTTTTCTGATCAATTCCACACCATTTTTTTCACTGTGCAATCGCATGACCAGAACTCAACTCTATCTTTAAAGGCCAAGTCCACTCCAAAAATAATTTGCTTTTAATAGATGCAGAAAAACAAGAGAAACAGAGCAAAAACATTGAGAAAAATAGGATAACTAATGAGGAAGTTATGATTTTTTTTTCAAGTATGAAAAACTATGGAACTATGAAAATTGGCAAAATATATTATCAATAAAATTTTTAAAAATAGTGGATAGTAAGGCAATGGCATCACAGACTCATGTGAGTGAGTTGCCAATTTGTTAAAAATTAAATACTTTCTTGGTTAATAGTTATCCAATTTTGCTCAAACTCTTTTGATTAGTTTGTCTGATTTTTCTGCTTTCAAAGAAAGTAAATTATTTTTGAATTGTAATTGTGTGACAATAGTTGACTATGGCAACCCACCGTTTGTCCCATACATAAACCAAAACTGGTAAAGAGTTACCTGTTCAGTCTCTGCTACAATTCCTCCTTCAATCATGTTCTTGGTGCCTGGTATGAGACCAATCTGACCAGATAAATACATCGTATTCCCTGCTATCACCGCCTGGCTGCATTCAAAACAACATAGAACAAAACTCCTCAATACAATGAAACTTGAATCATAACAAAACATGTTTAACCATATATGTGCCTATGTGAAGCAAGTTGTACATGTACATGTCCATGTAGGAGACATGCTAAGATGACAATTGCAGTGCACTCAATGACATCTGGGGGTGTTTCACAAAACTTTTCAGCAGTGACAAATTACAGTTTTTGTTATAAGCTACTGAAATCCTTGCTTCTGATTGGTTATCAGCAGATTTGTCACAGATTTTTGTAATTTGTCATTGAAAAAAGGCTTTGTGAAACACCCCTCTGAACTTCAACCCAATATCCAACTGTAATACACCTAACCCTTATTAAACAATCATCCTCCCCCAGACCCCCATCCTTCCTTCCTGCATTTCAAGGTGGTGAGGTCAAATCTGTACATGAAATAAAGCAATACCTGATCGAAATTTTCATGTTTTCGCTGAATGAGCTCATAGTAAATGCCTCCCTCTTGTGCTAACTTCAGATCAGGGTAAAGTTAAAATGATCAGTTCTGACTCTGAGTCTCTAACCATGCGGACTACAGCCTTTTCCAAAACACAAGTTCTTTGTCAAACTTCTGCCTTTAAAGTTGCTGGGACTTTGTGCTACAATTGCAGATTCCTAAGAGATGTAGATTGTAGGTGATAAAGACATCAACCAGATAATTACAGATTTCTGCAAAGCAGATAGAAAAAAGTTATTGAATCATATTGTTAGTATTCTGGTGTTTTAGTATTAACAGAGAAGGACATGAGTTGTAGGTCTATGACTAGTTGACTACCTTTTTAGTTAGGTTTTCCCTTGCAATTGCATGTCTATATTCCCAAATCCCAATGAGAGTTGACCATTCAGGCTCAAATCCTTCACCCCCTATTCATAATTAATTAAAAATGTGCTAAAAGGCCATTGATTGTGTTTTTCCCTTAATATGAACATCACATTTCTCACCTATGAGTAAACAGGAGCACATAATTTGAATTTTGATTGCTTGGGTAATGTAATAAATAAAGAGTCTACCAAGTTAGACTAGATCTACATACATTGTAGGTAGACCCATGTACACCTGTAGGTCTAATACAGGGTCTATCTCATACAGATCAAGATTAAGATCTACTCCTAAACCAATGCCATGCCCATTGCAATACAGTCAGGGTGAAAATAAATCTACATATGTACAACTACATAGACCTAGACCCTAGTTTTATGTCCTCTAGGCTATAAGATCAATAAGTGATAAGAAAACACAATTCTCATCTCAGGCTCAGCAAATACCCAGCAAATGCCTATAGATATCTTACATAGTTACAGCCTTTGCACACAGGGGTAAAATTCTTTGTATCTAGAGCTGATTAGTTTAAACAATGACCGGTAGACATGTAAATTCTTGTGAATATCGTCTGCTGCAGTACATGTACATACAGTGCTGACGCAAGCACATGCCTCTGTGTGTAACGGTAAGGTTTACAAAATGTTATGTCAAGCAAATGCACGATTGCATGAGTCTGTGAAGGTCGAAATTGAACTCTGTGTTGAAATTCTTGCAGCCGTATTTTAAACTGTTACTGCGCATGAGGAAGATGATGCTATCCATTGACAGTAACAGTTTAAAATACTGCTGCAAGAATGTCAACACAGAGTCCAATTTTGACCCCAAAAATGCTGAAAAAAGACATTCAAACGCATTCAAACGCATTATACAGTCAAGCTGGGAAGTTAAGTAGAATCTAGTAGAAATTATACAACTCACTTCTATATCCTTATCAAATCATTGGTCATGAGCGGTCACATGTGATTCATTTACTGAGATTAGGCTATCCCACGTTTTTTCATGAAGAAGCGTGCAATAGTTTCCAGTACGGTACTACCACACAATTTTTTTTAGTGCATGCGCAGACTTGCGCGTAGAGTTTAGAGTGCAATTGCATACCGTCACGCCTGCATACCGTACCGACGGTGGGGTGCAGGCGGGTGTGATAACGCCATTACGAACGTGTAGATGGCGCAAAGTTTTTCCTTCATAATCATTTTGCCTTCGGCGTAGACTAGAAGGGATGAGATTGACGGCAGCGAGAGTTTAACACGGCTTGCAAGATTTTCAACATGGATGTCGATTTTGACCCATAATTTCCTTAAAAGGGACCATTAAACGGATTATTTCAATCAAGTTAGTAAGTGGAACCGATGTATTATAGCCTAGACCGTCTTAGACCGAATTTTCCGTCTCTTTCGTTCGTTAGCCTCTTATTGGGGTAGGGTCGGCCGGCTCTCTCTTTAGAGACGGAAACCATCTATACACTTTCCCTTGATAACTCCACGGCCATTTCAGGTCGTAGCGTTTTGCCCCCAAAATCCCCCAAAATGTCATTTTACCTCATGCATTGATTATTTAAAATTAGGAGAAGGTTATACTACATCGGTTCCACTTACCAACTTGACTGAAATAATCCGTTTAATGGTCCCTTTTAAGGAAATTATGGGTCAAAATCGACATCCATGTTGAAATCTTACAAGCCGTGTTAAACTCTCGCTGCGCACGGAGTCATCTAAATCAATCTCATCCCTTTTAGTCTACGCCGAAGGCAAAACGATTATGAAGGAAAAACTATGCGCCATCTACATGTTCGTAATGGCGTTATCACAGTTTTTCCTTCATAATCGTTTTGCCTTCGGCGTAGACTAAAAGGGATGAGATTGATTTAGATGACTCCGTGCGCAGCGAGAGTTTAACACGGCTTGCAAGATTTCAACATGGATGTCGATTTTGACCCATAATTTCCTTAAAAGGGACCATAAAACGGATTATTTCAGTCAAGTTGGTAAGTGGAACCGATGTAGTATAACCTTCTCCTAATTTTAAATAATCAATGCATGAGGTAAAAATAAATGACATTTTGGGGGATTTTGGGGGATTTTGGGGGCAAAACGCTACGACCTGAAATGGCCGTGGCGTCTAGACGGTTTCCGTCTCTAAAGAGAGAGCCGACCCTACCCCAATAAGAGGCTAACAAACGAAAGAGACGGAAAATTCGGTCTAAGACCGTCTAGGCCTAATTTACATTTGGATATAGGCCTAGATTCTAGACCTGGTCTACACGAGGTAAAATGACATTTTGGGGATTTTGGGGGCAAAATGCTACGACCTGAAATGGCCGTGGCGTTATCAAGGAAATGTGTATAGACGGTTTCCGTCACGGTTTCCGTCTCTAAAGAGAGAGCCGGCCGACCCTACCCCAATAAGAGGCTAACGAACGAAAGAGACGGAAAATTCGGTCTAAGCTCAGCTCAGCTCAGCTCAGCTCAGCTCATGATGTACCGTGCTAGCGCTCCGAGCCGAGGTGGCCGGTGGTGAATGGCTCGCGCTTGACGGTAGGCCTACAGTTGAGCAATAATCTTGCCATGTTCACATGGTACACCAGGCCATGGTCACGGTCTGGCGTTTAAAGATGAACTTTATTTTTCAACAATTAAAACAAACCTAGTAAAGCTTAAATGTACATACATGTACAGTCATTTAGGAGCAAAAGAAAAAGCTGAAAATCAACTTACCTGTATGGGCCAATAGCAGCAGGTGCAGTTGTAATTTTGACAATTTTTCGTACGATTCCAGCCATCTTGAAAGTTGAAGTCCGATCTACAAAAGGGGCGGAGTTGGAATGAGTCTCTCAGCGCATGCGCGTTTTTGTTTTTGTGATGCACCGATTTTTTTTTTTTTTTTTTTTATTTTTTTTTTCCTTCTTCCTCTTTACGTATGATATACAGGCACGTAGCCACGGGGGGGGGGGGGCACTCCAGTGTTCCCCTTCCCCCCCCCCCCCCCCCATAAAAAAAAAATAAAAAAAAAAAAATTCAAGATCGGTTGAACTTTTTTAGACCCCTTTTTTAACTCTGGGTACGTGCCTGGTGATATACAGTGTTATTCAACATAAAAAGTTTACACCTAGAAAATTGAAATGAAAAAGTCTCATTCCGAATCATTTAGTATAATTTTGTGTGGTATGTGTTGACGCTTGGATAAACAGAAGGCATTGTTTGCGAGAGATAAAACACTCTTTCATAAGATGTATAATAATTTACTGTTCATAGATGATTTTTTTTTTTTAATAATTAGCAATTTTCTAGGTGTAAACTTGTTTTGACTCACATTAGGCTTACATTGTCTTGTGAGTTACACGTTATAAAATATGGGCCTCAGTCAGAGACGATCCTACCAGGGGGGGGGGGGGGGGCAGGGGGCACAGTGTCCCTACTTTTTCAAGTACCCCAAAAAGTACCCCCTTTTACATAGGGAAATTCCCCCTAATTTCCATTTTCAACTCTGATGTGTGCCCTTTTTATTTTGACACATGTCCCTTTTCCTTCGACAAGTTCCCATTTTACTTTGCAATAAGTGTCCATTTTCCATTCTCATAAGTGCCCTTTTTAATCTCTAGTACGAGAAGTGCCCCTTTTCACTTTTGATCAGTGCCCCCTTCACCTCCGATAACTACCCTATTCAAACTGAGAGATGCCCATTTTACTTTGATAACTGCCCCTTTTTACTTTGTAAGAAGTGCCCCTTCCTTTTAATAACTCCCTTTTCAGTTAACTCGGATAATGCACCTTTTATTTTTACATGTGCCCCTTTTCCTTTCTAATAAGTGGCCCTTTTCCTTGAGTGCCCCCATTAAAAAAGGAGCTCCTCCCCTTTCTTATAAGTGCCCCTTTTATTCAGGTGGCTTAATTAGCGTCAAATTTATAGATTATCGTTACTTGCCGGATAAAAGCACCATTTTTGGTACAGGGCTTTTTTAGGACTTACTAAACGATATTAGGCTAGGAGCCCCTGGCGAAAATTCAATTTATGGGTGTGGGGGCAGGGGCGTCTTTTTGGAGCCCCAAATAATTTTATAACATTGATTTGTTGTTGTATACAAATGCCATTTTGGGTACAGGGCTTTCTTAGGACCTACTGAACGATATTAGGGTGGGAGCCCCCGTCAAACATAAGGGTCTGGGGCGGGGGCATCGCTTCGTAACCCTCAAGTAATGTGTAAGGTAATATAACATTTATTTGTTTCTGTACAAATGTCATTTTTGGTACAGGGCTTCCTTAGGACCTACTGAACTATATTAGGGTAGGAGCCCTCGGCAAGAATATCATATAAGGGTGTAGTCCAGATTCAGTCCGTTCGTTCTTTTTACCCCCCACACACAGCGCGGTCTCTCCACTGATCACGCAATCCCCAAATTTCCGTCAGGACCCAGATTTAGAGGAATGGCTAGGTCTACTTTCAACGTTGAGGGTGTGCTATTTTATCAGCTGATTGGGTGCGCTAAACGAAAACGGTACAGAGGCTGGACTAATAAGGGTGTGGGACAGGGGCGTCGCCTCGTAGTCCACAAATAATTTGTAAGGTAATATAACATTGAATTGTTGTTGTACAAACGCCATGGGCCCCCAATCACACATATATGAATATGTATGCCGGGGGCTCCTACCCTACCATCATTCAGCAGGTCCCAATGAAGCCCTGTACCAAAAATGGCGTTTGTATAACCATGGACCTATTACGGATGGACATATAACGTGATTCTTTCTTTGATCCTATATGATAGTCGCCGTCTTCTGATTATGTGCATCTTAATGAGAACATTCAGCTGTTTGAACAAAAACGACTGCGTAAGCATTTTTGGCCATTGACAAAGGAGCAGTATCCCTCTCTTGGGTTTGGTTTGGATGGTGTGCTCTGTAAGGGTGTGTCTTAAATAAAAGCATCCCCAATGGTAAGCAGCAAAGTTGAAAAGCAGACGATTTTGGTGATATGAAATGTATTATTACTGATTCGCAAACTTTCGCACACACATAATATGACCTTTTAAAACAATTAGAAGGCCATGATCTGTATCAGCCCTGTGCGTTGTAACTCTGGAATATTATGAGGAAATAGGGGGAATCTGGATTTTAAATCACAACCCAAAAATCCAAAAATAACCTCTATCTGGTAATATCAACATGTTTAAAAAAAACAAAAAAACATGTACAGTACACGGAACAACAATTTCCGATTATAAGCCAGAACTGCACATCTATTTTCCATGATTAGGCGAGTTATTATCTTCTGCGCATGTAGATTAAAATGTTTAAAATCACTATCTTGATTCTGTCCCGGCTTATTGGCGGCGACCATGATGAGATCAAAGAGAAGAAACATGTACAGCATGTTATTGAGACGACATTGACGAAGACAATCACAATGAATTCATTAAGAAAACGATGAATGTCCATTCGTAATAGGTCCATGGTATAACAAACATCGAAAACGAAAAATCGACTTGCACAAAAGTATTAAAGTGAGAGAATGAATTGAATGTATCAAATGAGATGCATTGCATATGCTTTTTTGCAGTAGCAAAGTCACACACACACATACACACGCGCGCGCAAAAAAAATGTTCTTTGATATTTGATATGTGTGGCATGATTAATCTTGTTAGATATGTTATTTGGATCTGCAAAGACCGAATTAATGTCCAAATCCCAATTGTTTTATTCAATCATCACATAAGCATTACTGGCGCAAGTCGATTTTTGCACTCTATTAAACAATGTCTCCTGTTCATCCAAGCGTGAACACATACCGTACACACATGATATCAGGTGATTTGGGATAAAATACTCTTTAATAAGAGGTAAAATAATTTACTGTTCATATATTTTATTTTATTTTTAATAATTCGCAATTTTCTAGGTTTAAACTTTTGTTTTTACTCACACTGTATAGGATATACCTTTGATCCGTCCCGTCTCTCCCCCCCCCCCCCCCCCCCCCTCTCTCTCTCTCTCTCTTTATGAGGGCATATTGAGGGTTAAGAGAAATCAAGATGTGGGATTTTTTGTTAATAAGTAGTTTATTATGATTTTTTTCAGAGGAAAACTGAGAGGGCATTGATTAAATAAATGTCCTACAATCTCTTTATACTAAAATAAACGACAATAAAACAAAGGGCATCAACTAAATAGTGGTTCATTGTGTTCTTGGAACAATTTATTAAACTCAAAATCGTATCATTTTGATGTACCACAAATAAAATATGTTGTATAAAATACATACTAATAACAGTGATTAAGGAAAATAATCAATGGTGTGCAATAGTCTTGTAATTAAGAATTATATACCGGAACTAGATGAAAACTTCAATCTAGCCTGCAATAAAAACGGGAAAATGGTGATACTATTTTCAACTTATCAATCAAACGGACTTGGGATGAATGGACTCGGAGGAAATCCTGAATGGTCAGAAGAGGAGAAGAGCAGGGGTTGTTTAATCGCTGTGTGTATCTAGGGGTGTATCTAGGGGTGTATCTAGAGGTGTATAAGGGGCACGAGCCCTTCCAAAAAATGTAATTACCTAACTAAATCAAGAGCAAAATCCAACGAATATAATATATTTTTCATTTGCGCCCTGCAGATGTTTTTACTTGGACGAAGTTAACTGTACCTTTTATCAGACATTGTACGTAGGCCTACATCTGCTCTGTACCTGAACAGTACGAAAATACACCTGGCGGTGGCATGTAGGCCTATATAGGCCTACTGCAACTGAAAAAAGAAGACAGTTGAATAAATTTTCAGTAGGGCTTATTATTTTCAAAAATTGAACGAAATTAACGATCAGTTTCTGAGCTTCTTTAAACAATCTGTACTATGGTAAAATGCAAAATAAATTTCGTTCATATAGAGTGAAAATGAAAAAAATGATACCGCTTGAAGGTTTTGCTCCCCTGCTTCAGTGTATAATATTCAACGTTTGGTTTCCTACACAACTAGGGTTTAATACATTATTATTATTACGTGGTGAAAAATGGTAGTTTACCCAAGTGATGGTGCCCCGGGGGCCACAATACATTTAGATAACTACAATTGTCTTCTCTTTGTTGCATCTTTCATTTATTTCGTGGGGAATATGCCTTGCCATCAGGTGCGGGGATCCCGATGGTGTGTACCCCCCCCCCCCTCATTTTTTTTAGAGGGATCGTAAAATTTGCCTCCTGGAAATTTGAAAAAGTGCATCAAAAACATGTACAGCAAATAAAGACTGCAACACATTTTTAGGCTATGGAGGGCAGAAGAGTGCAGCGTTTAGACCAATAAAAAATGAAAATATCTTCTCGCTCGGTCGCTACGCTCCTTCGCATAATATCTTTCAAAAATAATGTACAAGTAAATATTGTGGAAAATCTGTATTTCGTTGGTATTACAGGCGTATAAGCACAGTTTCCACTATGCTCTCTCATCCCTCGCATTTCGTCCCCCCGGTCTCGAAAAGAAACCGCCGCCCCTGCTTACCAGATCTATACCTCATGCATATGCTATAAAAACTGTCGTGATCTTAAGACCGGGCCTTAAGAGCTCGAACAGAATGATATGCGAAGAACATAATCTATGGAAAAACAAACAGTATTCTGTTTACATAGGCTAGGCTACTTTCTTAATCATAAAGTATAATACAATATCTACAAGTCGTGGTTTCATTCTTGAAAACACTAGCCAGTAGAAAATTACATTTTCTGCAAGTATGTTCTCAATTCCATTTAATGCTTCGACGTGTATTTTGCAAACTTGTGTAATTAGTAATGTTAACATTATGTGGCCGCAATGGCAGCTGTATGGTTAGGAAAGGAGGTACCCGACAAACGAAACATATCCAATGATTCCTTCTGCCTGCGCAATGATTTTTCGAAGAGTAATTTCATCGCCTTGGTTTAGATTCTGAGCTACAGTAATAGCACTGTTCTGTGGTGGACCATATGAGGTGGATCGAAACATCATCTCAGCATCTGGAACAGCAAGACCAGACACCTGCGCTTTGGTATCTCCGTTCACTTGAAGAGCTACGATGACGTATCCTCCCCCATCGTCTATGCGTACGAAAGTGAACGCCAGGTGAAACACATAGAGACCTTTAAAAATGAAATGGTGAGAATTAATGAAGATAAAGTTTAGTTCTGGTCATTAGTTGCATTGCGAAAGAAACGGTGTGGAATCGATCAGAAAAGGTTGATCGTCTAGCATATAAGTATTGGTGTACTGTTTACTGCTAGGTTCTGGAATCATCAAAATGATTAGAAATTTGCACAGTCTTAGTAAAGTTACAATTAACACTGCATGTACACAGACATAATACACGAACATCCGTCCCGAATGTTATGCTGGTACATGCCATATTTTAGGAGCCATGCTGTTCAGGGAACATTTTTATAACTGATGTCGTTCTTCCACACTTGCATAATAACAATGATAACACTCACAAATTATTTTTCACATCTTCCCATGCAGAACTCCTTCTCTTTAATAGCGCAATAAGACCATATCGTTAAGAGAGTTTCACACCGGACGAAATGTAGAGTTGCGTAGTGTTGCGTACTCACTACACCGAGCGTCCGCTGCCCTACGCTGGCCTACGTAGCTATACGCTGAGAGACGCAAAGGGATACGCGATATATGGACGTAAAGAATTAAACATGTTTATTTTTTGCGTACTTTCAACGTAGACACCAGACGCATTTTGAACGCAAGTATATGCAACACTACGCTACTGTACGTCGTGCGTACGCAGGAGTACGCTATCCTACGCCACAGTCCGACGAAGCAGTAAAAGCGGGGTAAGAGGCCATTTTTTTTTTTTGGTCTCGAATTTTGAAAATTTGACATTTGGCTCCGTTGGGGGGGGGGGGGGGGTAAGGTCACCTTTTTAGGTCAGCCATGGGAATTGTTTTTGTTTAATAATTAAAAAAAAAAACCCCTCAAAGGGGGGGGGGGGTTACACACATAAAAAATACCAAAGGGGGGGGGGTTAACCCCCCCCCCCCAACCCCCCAACCCCCCCCCCTCGTGTACGCGCCTCCTTCCCCCCCCCCTTCCACACAATTTTAGCCCTAATGGTGAGGCAACCTCTCATTCCTAACTGGGAGCGGATATTAAATATCCTTGTAAAATATATTTATTTCAATAGATAATAAAGATAATACCTGTATTGATCTTTGGGCACAATAAACATGTCATTCCAAAATAACAATCCCTACATAACCATCACATTCATAAAACGATCTAGCTAAGGAATATTTACCAATAACATCTTAAAGTTACTGTATAATGCACTCGTATTGCTTCACTTTGATTATTGTTCCTCTGTGGGGACAAATCGGTATTAGGAACAAACGGATAAACTCAAGAAAGTTCAAAAACGAGCTGCTAGAATAATTTCATACAAAAGCTACGAGACTCCATCCAGTGAATTAATTAGCAATCTGAAATGGATGCCAATTGAAAACCGTTTTGAATTTCAGCGTGTTTGTATGATGTACAAATGCACACATCATTTGGCGCCATCCTATTTACAAGAAAGTTTAATTAAACTAAGTGACATATATCAGCATAATACGAGGCAGGCAGTTGAAGGTTTACTTTCTGTGCAAAAGTATAACATAATGCTTTAAACATAGCCCCTCGTTTCTTCAATTATAGCATTGAATCAATTGGACAGATCATTGAGAATGACAAGCTCTGTGGACACCTTTAAATACATGTTCAAACAATCTTACATTATCGATTCCCAATGAGATAAAATGACAAGAGGAATTTTGTTAATAGTGTATGTTTTCTTAGCACTGTCAATGTAGGACGATATACTGCTTTTCAAACTTTAGGAATGATTTCATATAATTTATTATCGGTTATAAATACATTTGTATTTTTTAATGCCATTTAAGAGTGTACATTCAATTGCTATACTAGATTACATGCATTAATTTGTCATATTATCCAGTAATTTACTATCCTGTAATATATTTTGTGGTTGTAAATATGTATATAACAATTGAACTCTCAAAGTATATGTTGCCTTTTTTCAAGGTCCAATACTTACCGAAATATGCTTATAGTTACTTTTCATCGGATTTAAAAACTAATTACTGTCTATGCTATAATGTTAAATTAAAATATTATAATTATGCAACAACGTTTTCTGAACGAAAAGCAAAGCAAAACAATACAGACAAACCATTCTTTTATTACGAGGATACCAAATACTTTGAATATATGTTTATTCATGTTCTTAGTTATTGTTTATTGCTGTTATGAATTTATGTTCAAGATTTGTTAAACTATAATGTACCTCATTATGTTTAACCCTAATAAGGCCGGGGGGCCATTATGCCCCCCCCCCCCCACGATTGTTCTGATTGTTCGGGAACGCATATGGATGGCGCCCCGCCGCTCGCTGACTTTTTCTTTCGAGTCTTGCGCATCTTTAAAAATGTCATTTTTCCTAAAAATAGATTAAACATTGGTTATTGGGTCTTGTTTAAAGTTTAGGTGGTTGTTTTGGGGGTCAAAATAGTTGAATTGTAGTAAGAAATTAAATAAAACAAAAACAATAAAATACATAAGTTAACAAAACATTGAAATACATAAGAAATTGTCAAAACAAGAGATAACATAAGGAATAAGCTGGCTCTTCCGAATTTGTTGTGGTGTATTATTATTCCAAATGATCTAATGAATACGTGTGGTGAAAAAGAATGCTTAAATATGAAAAAGTTATGATTTATGGGTAAAAATGTGATTTATGACCTTATTTGCATAAATTACCATAAATATGCAAATGAGTGAATTTTTCAAAAAAAAGGAAATTATCGTATTATTCTATATACTTCATTTGATATTCATGCAAATTTTCGCGGAGATCTTAAGGGGGGCCATAACCCCCCCCCCCCCCCGGCCGTACTAAGACCTCAAATTGCCCGGCCTTTTTAGGGTTAACAGGGCCTCATGGCAGACCACCATTATTGATGATAATGAGTCACCCTGTCTAAATATCAGAAATAAATAAATAAATAAATTCATCCAAAGTGTATTTGATAGAGCGCATTTTTCTTCCAGCTAAAAATCGCTGCACACCGTTCCAGTTTATTAACAGGATTCATGATTATATATATTCATTTATTCGTATTAAAAGAAATGTTAATGTTTTGCAAAATGTCCTGGCAAAATGTATTGTGCACGTTATATAAATGAAAAGAAATCAATCACTCCAACAATATCACTTCCCGAGGGTTTCGACATTTTCAAAATAGAAGTATTAGAAAACAATATTTAACGAGGGCATACCTTGGAAGGGGGCTGTAAAGACACCTGCCCTACTGTCGAATCCGTCGCCGATGTTGACGTCTGGAGGTGCGTACATGTCGATCATCGAATCAGCAAGTTGCTGCTCTATTATGTAGACCAAGCCATAAACTGAAAAAGCACTCTGACGAGCGCGTGGAAACGAAACGATCGGCTTGTCTGCATGAGAGATTAAAGAACTTGTCACTAATAGTCCTATGAATATGACGGACAAAGAAAGAGGACACCATATACAGTTCCTCATTCTACTCTCAACAATTGCTGTGGTAGACAAAGGAACATCCTTTCACTGCTATTAAGTAAAAATGTGTAGAACAGGTGAATATGCATATGACACCTGTTCTACACATTTTTACAAAATAGCAGTGAAGGGATATTCCTTTGTCTACCACAGCAATTGTTGAGGGTAGAATGAGGAACTGTATATTTTGTCCTATTTCTTTGTCCGTCATGTTCATAGTGTATACCACTATAGCATGTTGTATATGAAGCGTCATTATTTTACCTGACGTGTTAATGAGTGTTCAATCTTTAACGAGCCGTGTGAGGTTTATAAGGGGAAAACGTGATTTATAAATGCATTTTTAGGATTTCTTTAATGTGTTTCATCCATATGGTTATAATACCGATTGGTCATTAACTCTTGAACATCACAATTTTCCTTTATGTTGGTATAACGAAACGTATAATTTTCTGTCTCATTATTTTTAAAACAAAAATTGCGTTTTAATTCACATATAATTATGAATCTTGGAATAATAAATTTTAGATAATTTTTATTTCATAATGCATCATAATGATACATCAACTAATTTTCAGCCAAATATTCGAGTGTTATTGTACTTCTATTTTGTATAATCAGTAACGTTTTGTTTCCAAAGCTTTATACTTGTATAAAAGTCAAATTTAAATTTGCAAAGATAATGTAATTTTAATGATGTACCTTTATTTCAGATTCATTAATTTGTTTTTTTAAATTGAGAATCCTTTTTAAGACCATTTTATCGCCGAAATCACTCTGTAATTAGTGCCTGGACTACTACTTTGTTTTTCTAATAAACCAAATTGAATTTAATAGATTCGAATTGATTTGTAGAAGTTGTAACCATAGTAATGCAATAAAAAAGACACCTCGTGTGCAAAGGGCGTACGACTATAACCTGATAGTAAGAAAAGCATATAACTATTTTGGCAACATGTTCATGTTGGTCGCTGTAAAACAATTATTTGCGAAAAGCATTATTGTTTATCATCTTTGGTGTAAGCGCGTCATGTTTGCGAAAATATAATTATTGCACTATAAACAGCATTATACCTAGATGCTTGAGTGAAACAAGAAAAAGATGAATTATATCAACGGAAAGTTTATAAGCCATAGATTAGAATACTATCAATTACATGCCATTTTAGTGTCTGTCAGAGGAGTAACTGTTTTCAGCTTTATGAAAACTCAAAATCTTAAGCTTTGAAAATTGGAAAAACGAATTATCGTTTTTGTATCATAACTTAGAAATGACACATATTTGTAAAGCTTAGATCCTCTTCTTTAATTTGATGCAACTTATGTGATGCATATTTCACGCATGAGTGATTAAAAACACTCATTTGGAGGGCGGTATCTGAATTTCAAAGAGAAAGTCGCATTTCTAGAAAGTTCATTTTCTGCCCTTTTTATATGACACCTCAATCAGTAAAAATGAGCCAGGAATAACAAACTTCTGTTTGCTTAAAGTAATGCTTGCATTTCCATAATTTGATTAAACGAATTCGTTTTCACTGGCTGCCTGCCGTGGCAACAAACAGGGTTGACAATAGACTTAACTCTGTTTCGTTGACGATTAGCCATTCACAAAGACGAAAAACTTGATGCATAGAGCACTGTATAGGTGAGCCGATCGGGTCCACATGTTATGTCGTCACTGTAACTTCGGCAAATTTGACCCCTGTTGACCCATAATTTTGAGGGGTGTTGAAAATAAGGTTTTGATTGCTATTGTGCAATCCTGAAAGGGTAAATAATTTGTATTCCTATTTATTTATATTCTACGTACATCATCAGTTTTCCACTTAAATAAGGTTGTTTTTTCATCTGATAAGGTCTTTAATAATGCCCGTTCTTGCATACATAGTCTTACGTCATTAACGTTGACCGCTTTAAATAATCGAATGTACATTGGACCACTTAAAGGAATAAATTGAATTTAATGAATAGAGAATAGAGAGTTGAGTAAATGTTGTATGCATACATTATTGTTCTATATAAAGAAACACTCCGATTGGAATAATCGTCTGCTATGACAGCGGATTGGGTGAAACATGACAGTATTCGGAATAATCTTAACTGCCATAAACTACGGAGCTGTATAACGGTAGGCCTACAACGTTGTAAAGGCCAAACAATTAGGTTTGACGGTCTTCGTAAAATTATTTTTTACCAAATGCCTTTTAGTACTCACATTTATGTTTTTACGATTAAGAATTATGTCAAGTCAAGTCAATTCGACCAATCAGTGTCAAGCCGGCAAACAGCTAACCAAGTGCAGTTCTGTCATAATATTAATATATTACTCGTTTTGCTTAAATGGTTCAATGGACACAAAAATGAAAGTAATTCAAACTTACGATAGAGGAGAAACACCGAGAAAATAAAAGGTCGATTTTCATCTCCAACGACGTCAGCTTTGTTATACACATACACAACATTGCCCCTCTTCAACTCGGCCAACGCATGAGCGGTAAAAGTCGCCCTTTCTCCGCTGTTCAGTGTAAAAGCGATTATCCCCCAGTCTTCGACTACCAGCAGAAGTGGTTGAAAAGCGATCCCCAATCCAGGTCGATGAATAATGAATAGATAAGTACCGTCATCATTGATCTCGATCTTACCGGAAAGTTTAGAATACCTGGCCGCTGAGCCTCTCTCAACCACGGGATCCGTTGAAAAGATCAAATACGGGGCTGGTTAACATTCGTCCACAGTATAGTTTTCGTGAGTAAAGGATAAAACATTAATAAATTAATAAACGAAACATTGTTAAATCGCACATAAATAAAACTCAGGATCCAAAGTCGTTTACGTGAGAAAAAAAAATGGCATCAGATTTTTAAAAACGGCTTTGTCCAATTTATACTCGTTCTAAAACCAAAAACGGGTTATGTATTTGCCGACGAGCCGAGACTTATTGCTATTCGTTGCCATATTTTTGCTGGAAAAGCAGCCTTGAAAAGACAGTTGTCATAATGTAGGCCTATTTTTATTGATACATGTTTTATCTAACTTTGAGTTATTACGTTCACCTGCTACAGTCACAATGCCTACATGCATAAAACAGTTGTTGCTACGTCGGACTATTATTTTGGTTTTCCACGCCTAACAATACATAATGCATGCAATTCGTATTCAGACTATTCTTACAGTTGAACACTAATTCGTTTATAATATAGAGTAACTGTGTTTGGCATTACTACAATACTTAAGGCTCTGATTTTGTCAAAAACTACACGAAATCTATCAAATCAAAATTTTAAAATATCTTTTGGAGTAGGCCTTATATCATAAAGCTTAATCATACTAAATACGACATCTCAGTTCGATATAAATTTTAACTTCTTAAGTATTACCGACCAAATAAAAGTTAACGTAGTGAATTCACCTGATGATGTCAAAGCTTTGTCCACGATACACAAACCGAAGTCATTCAGGAACTCTGACGAAGCTACGCCTTCTCTCACGATCATTAGCATCAAGATGCATATAAGCATGTAGGATGGCCCACTCGCCATTCTGAGTAACAACAAAAACAATAAATCATGAATATTTTTCATTATTTAGAGTGTCATAAATTATGATAACCTATCTACTATCTAATATACAAAGAAATGTGAAGTCGCCACGGCAAGTCATCAATAAATGATATTTCAAAGTTAATATTAAATATCCCAATGTCCTCAACTTGCACTTTTCCTTGTAATGAATCTACACCTTTAATTGCAGTTCTCGTATACTGCGTAATACAAGAGGGAATCTCATACTAAATTTTCAAAGATTGGCCATAATAACAATGATAATAATAACAATAATGATAATATCCAACACAGTTAAATTCAATCGCTGATATTCAACTGTTTTTAAAGGGAGACCTTAACTGTTCCTCAAGATAATGATTACAAATCCAAACATTTTCCCCCGCTTTTATTTACTAACCACGCAGGGAAAGACAGTGAAGTATCCTAATATTTAGATCAGCTGGAAAAGATTTGTCTTACCTTAAATCCAGGGTGAAGCTTTAATATAGCTGGAAATCGATTTGAAAAACGCCTTTCTGATTTCTCCAGACTGCTATGTTAGCATGCTCTTGGAGATGTCTCGTGTGTCTATGCTCTCATCACGTACATTACAGAGGCGTCAGTTCGTGAGGTATTATGCAAATTACTTGAATGTTTTATTCAAATGAAAAATCTGGAAATCCAAGAGGATGGCATTTGAAGACAATCGCTTCAGTAAACAAGTTCCAAAAGCATTCAAGTGATGGACATTAACGCTCAGTGCCGTTGCATGGGTCTAACAATAGGGGCCATGTGACGTGCTGCGATCATGTTGCGGGGGGGGGGGGGGGGGGGTCTAAAAGGATTGAAATGCAAACATTTTCGCATTCTGACTAGCAACGTGCATGGATGGACGAGATTAAAACAAGCTGTTTTAACTGCAAGTGCCTCCCTCAGCTTAGTATAATTTTAATTGTTAACTTAAAATTGTGATTATTGATGATTGTTAATAAACGTTATGTTAAAATGTAATTATTTTGTATGTATTAACATATTTATGTACATGTATACACCTTCAAATATCCGAAAAGCAATTTCCCATCTCCAAGTAATATATTGGTCAGTGTACTCCTGACTAATCAAAAGAGGTCTGGATGGTCGGCCAAATTGGCTGGGCTTACCTTGAATCATCGCCGTCGGTCGGGTGGTCGCGTTACACGTCATTTCGTGAAACAAAAACGGAAAATCATGCGACCTTTCGTACATTTGCCGTAGGGTTTTCGTCACAAACGATATGGTAATTGGACCAGATCGTTTGTTGATGAGAGAAGGTAATTTTACGAATATTACCTCCGAATTTTTTTAATTAAGTGGCAGTTTTCATAAAAGGTCGGGTAACGCGAGCTAAGTCGTTAGCTGAATGCTGACATTTTGTAGTCTCTTAAAAAAAACAGTGACGACTACGACACCGCCTCTTCCACCACCACCTACATTCCCACCTCTTACATCACCTACATCACCGCCACCAACACCGCCTCCAGCATTGTATACAACACCCCCTACAACCTCGCCTACAGCACAACCTACTACATCGCCTAAAAACACCACCTACATCAAGCCTATAACACAACCCCGGCATCGCCTAAAACACCACCTAAATACATTACTGCCCTCAACGTCGCCTACAACACCGCCATCTACAACATCACCGACTACAACCATTTAAATCAATTACCCTCATGGAAATCGCTTGCGTGCTGGACCATTTCTTTATGAATAGTGACCCTCGTTTCGTATTATGAATAGCGACCCTCTCCTCGTTTTTATAAATAGCGACCGTTTGTGTTATGAATAGCGACCCTCTTCTCGTGTTATGAATAGCAATGCTGTTCTTTGATTATGAATGACCCTCATTCTGCATTATGAATAGCGAGCCTCATTTCGTATTATGAATAGCGACCCTCTTGTCGTATTATGAATAGCGACCCTCATTTCGTATTATGAATAGCGACCCTCACGTCGTATTATGAATAGCGACCCTCTCCTCGTTTTATAAATAGCGGTTCTTATGAATAATGGTCCTTATATCTTTATGAATAGTGACCCTCTTCTCCTATTATGAATGATATGTACGGCAGGTTTGGGAAGTTCCCAATTTCGAATAGCGGTCCTTATGAATAGCCTTCCTTATGAATAGCGGTCTTTATGAATAGCGACATTGACCCGCCTTATCGGGGGAAAAAAAAATCAAGAAATATATTTCACCATACCCTGGTGCCAGTTGACTCCTATTTAGTAAAGCTATGGTCACAAATCAGAGCAGCGACCGACCGATCAGTAGCCTGCTCGGTCGCTGCTGGAATTAGGCATCTCCCACCGATTAAGTCGATGCCCGAGCGGCGACCGCCCAGGCACCGAGCGTATTTTGGGCTGCGAGTGAAAAGTGAGCAGGCGCCGCCCAAATTTTAACTCCGCGCTATAACTTCAGCGGCGACCGAGCGATGCCCTAAAAACGAGCGGTGCCTGGGCGGCCGCCGCTCGGTAGCCGGGCAGCCGCCGGGCAGAATTGGTTAAAAACTCGCCGCTCGGCCGCCGAGCAGGCTACTTTTGGGTAATGTGACCATAGCATTACTTTGTAAGTAGCTGACTCTAGGTGTTAAGAACGTTGGTCCAGGTTTTTGTATAATTCGGAGCACATATAAGCAATGCGTGGGACTGTATGTTCTGAAAATTCCTTCACATGCACCAGAGAGGTATTTTTCAAGCTGTTAATTACATAGTTTATACGAACTTATTTGTAATGACATCAACACCAAAAGCAATAGTGTTACTGATCAACGGATTATATATGTAAGACAATGCACCCCTTGGTGGGCCCATATTTATGAGTCAAGAAAATGGATCTTAAGCATTGTGATGGGAAGTGTAGAAGCACCCCCTCCCCCTCACGCACTCACTCACCCACCCACTTACGCACGCACTCACTCACTCACTCACGCACTCACTCACTCACTCACACATACGCGCGGTCTCTCTGGGTGCGTTCAATCGAAATTTTGAAGCTAGAATCACAAACATGAATCACAAATCAAAACGCCGTTACAAAAAACAAGGTCACTGCGGTTAGCGTTCAAGCGATTTTTCATCAACGCTGATTCTAGCTCATTTCGAGCCCAGCCACTGCGTATCACACTCGCAGTTTGACCCAGGAAGTATAGGTCAACTTCGGCGCGCGCTTTCTGGAATTGTTTACGGCCGACTGTCGACTGCTGTTTTGAGCATAGATCGCAACAATAAAACAAAGAATGATGGAAGGTGATGGAAGGAAGAAACACAAAATAACATAAGGAAAGACAAAAAGAGAAAGTGATAGAATGATTGAAACAAAGAATAACATAAGAGAAAGTGATAGTATTCTAAAAACAAAGAATAACATAAGAGAAGGTGATAGAAGGAAGGAAGAAAGAATAACATAAGGAAAGACAGAAAGAGAAAGTGATAGAATGCTTAAAACAAAGAATTACATAAAAAAAAGCTGATAGAAGGAAAAAAACAAAGATTAACATAAAAATAGAAGGAAGAAACAAAGAATAACAAAAGAGAAAGTGATAGAATTATAAAAACAAAGAATAACATAAGAGAAGGCGATAGAAGGAAAAAACAAAGAATAACATGAGAATAAAAGGAAGAAACAAAGAATATCATAAGGAAAGACAGAAATAGAAGGTGATAGAATGATTAAAACAAAGAATAACATAAGAGAAGGTGATAGAAGGAAAAAACAAAGATTAACATAAGAGAAGGTGATAGAAGGAAAAAACAAAGAATAACATAAGGAAAGACAGAAAGAGAAAGTGATAGAATGATTAAAACAAAGAACAACATAAGAGAATGTGAGTGAAGGGAAAAAACAAAGATTAACATAATAGAAAGAAGAAACAAAGAATAACAAAAGAGAAAGTGATAGAATTATAAAAACAAAGAATAACATAAGAGAAGGTGATAGAAGGAAAAAAACAAAGAATAACATAAGAATAGAAGGAAGAAACAAAGAATAACATAAGGAAAGACAGAAAGAGAAAAAGATAGAAGGAAAACAAGGTATAACATAACGGAACAGGCCACGATAAAGAGCATGGTATAGTAAACGCATAGAAAAGCAGGCGCGCGGTTTTTGCCCAAACCGGAACAGGCTCCGTCATACAATCATGATTGAGAACTCCGTCCGTTCAATCGAATTTTAGCGACCGTGATTCTGCAGAATCATGATACAAAACGCATCTTTTTCAGCGTTTCATGTTTGTGTTTTCAAACACGTTTATTTTTAGGACCGACGAAAAAATCGCTTGAACGCATTGCGTTTGAAACTAAACGTCTTTAGAAACCGTGATTTTAGGGTGAAAAAGTGTCGATTAAACGCACCCTCTCTCTCTCTCTCTCTCTATTATCTCTCCTCACAAACCTTTTGACAGGAAGGAAAAGAAAATCTCATTCCCTTAGTAAAAATTAGATAGTTATGAAAGCTTATGATCATAACAGGTTCTATACCCAGTAGCCAAGTGATATATTCTCCACCCGACATGCCCGATTTGTTGCTTATGCATTTGTAGGGGCACAGTTTTGTTGTGTGTCCCATGCAGTGCCTTATAAGGCTTGATGAGGTTTGCCCCGGGCGCTACAATACGAACCAGGTAGCACAGTTGAAATGAAGATAACTGCAATTGTCTTGTCTTTGTTATATCATCCATTTATTCATTTATTCATCTTATACCTCATTAGATCTGCCTTATGTATGCTATACAAACAGTCTTGATCTCAAGAGCTCGAACAGATATTCTGGATGGAAAAAAACGTATTCCTCTATACTACGAAAAACAAATCACTTCAGAGACAGCAGTTGTACAAATACCCCCTTAATGTATATATTTTCTTTGTTAATTTTACAATTCATCACTGCCAAAGTGATGTCGGTGATTGATGAATACATTTTGTTTGAAATCTTGAAAAGAAAACTTTATAGTTTTCCACCTGTGTATCATAGAATGTGCTGTCGGTGCATACATCAATAATTATTTCCTAACTTCTATGACCAATTATCCAACAGTCGTCTTGATGGCCATTGGTTTTATAGTATTGTACAAAATTGACCTTTATCTGCTCATGCGCAGATGGTATCCCTGAAGTGGCTTATTCATTATCAAATAATGCACTGTCAGATGGATCTACTGTACATTGATATAAATGTAAATAATACGTCTTACAAATATAAGGCCTAATCACTTTACCAGTCAGAATCCATGAACAGAAAATAAAATCCTTACTGACCTCCCTTCTTCGGGTTCTTTGGTATCAACATGGGAACAAAAATATTGTCCTATTGTCATCTTTGTACATCTAATCATATACGAAACGAAAGGACTAATTAAGCAGTAGTTTTCTGTTCAGATAGATTAGGCTATTTTTATAATTATAAGCATCGTCTCAATCCCGTTCAATTGCTTCGGGAAAATTGTGTAAACTTTTTCAATTCTGTATTCGGTTTGATGGTTCGAAGAGTATTTGCAAACATGTGTAATTTGGGATTGTTCAAAACATAATTTGGATGGTTAGGAAAGGAGGTATCCAACAAACGTAACACTTCCTCTAACTCCTGATACCGCGATGACATTTCGAAGAGTAATTTTATCACCTTGGTTTAGATTCTGAGCTACAGTAATAGCGCTGTTTTGTGGTGGCAAATAATAGGTGTAGATGTCTCGAAAGGCCGGCATCTGCGGAATACTCTGAACTTGGTCAGAAACCTGAGCTTTGGTATTCCCGTTCGTTTGAAATGCTACGGCGGCTCTTCCTTCTCCATCTGCTTCAGATGAGAAGGTGACCGCCAGGTGGAACATATAGAGACCTTTAAAAATGAAATGGATATTTAATGTTGATAGGTATTAGGTAATATCATAATCAGACCGTAGAGTTAGGGTTAAACATTTTGGCACAGAGCTCTGTGGAGGGGGGGGGGGCATATTAAGGGTAATATGAAGCATTACCTTAAAGCCCCACTGCAATACTTTTAGCTACTTGCGCCCTCTGTAAAGCCAACAATGCCTAAGCGGTACCCGCTGATCCCCCGTGATGCCTCATTGAGAGCTGTTTAGATGAGATAACTACCTGCCAGTGACCTTGCAGGGAGGTCGAACCTCTCCATGCTAAACTAGTGCACAGGGGCTTTAAAGCATTGTATGGCTACAGCACATTGAACAAGGGTTATACCTTAATTGGGCCAGTAGCAGACGGGGACTTTGTAATATGCCCCCTTCCGACCCGAGCCAGCATACCTTTACAAAATGCAGTAAAATATATAAATGGCTTCTTTTACCCCAGGGCCCCGTCTTTTAAAGAGTTGATATCAATCGTAACTTATTTGCGATTGATATCAATCGTAACTATGTACATAAGAGATAGGAGACTGCAAACTTGCGATTGATTGGAGGACTTACGATTGATTTGGATCGATCGTAACTCTTTGTAAGACGGGGCCCTGGCCTACCCCCCCCCCCCCCTTCTCCTCTCCACAGACTATTAGCCCCAATGGAAAACCTCTCATTCCTAACTGGGAGCGGATAATATCCTTGTAAAATATATTTATTTCAATACATGCTTATAATACTTGTATTGAACTTTATCCGCATTAAAAATGTCATTCCAAACTTACATTCCACTAGATGATCATAAAATCCATACAAAATGTATTTCATATAGCGCTTTTCCTTGCAGTTACAAAAGGCTAAATTGCGATACAATTCACAGATAAAAACATGCAAAATTACACAGTTCCAATTTATTACTACGATTAATGAATAATTATTTCATTTTTAAAAAATTCGTTACTTGAAGAAATTGTAATGTTTTGCAAAATGTATTGTGCTTTGTTAATTTTGCACAGAATATAAATGAAAAGTAATTAATGAATTGCTACACACGTTTAGGCCACTTCAACAATTCAACTTCTTAGGCTTTCGACATTGAAAAAAAAAGATTAGGAAATGATATATAACGAGAGCATACCTTCGAAGGGGGCGGTGTAGACACCTGTCATTCTGTCGAATTCGTCGCCGATGTTGACTGTTGGAGGTGCGAATGATTTGATGATCGAATCAGCAACTGAGAGGTCAACGCCGTTCAAGTTAACCGAAAAAGCACTCTGACGAGCACGTGGAAACGAGACGATTGGGGTGTCTGCATGAGATAATAAAGAAGTTGTCACTAATGGATTCGTAGCCCAATAACACTAAAGCATGTTGTATATGAGGCGTCATTTGCCTGACGGTAATAATGATAATAGTAATAATAATACTAAAAATGATAATAATAATGATGATAATAATAGTGATGATGATAATAATAATGATGATGATAATAATAATAAAATTAATAATAATAATAATAATAATAATAATAATAGTAATAATAATAATATTTATATCGGATTATAACAATGCATTAACTAGTTTTAGCCAAATATTCGAGTGATCTTTTACTTCTATTTTGTTTTGCTTCTAATGCTTTATACTTAGTGAAAGTGTGTTAGAATTGTTATTTGTAAAGACGTGTACTTTATGTACTTTAACTTCTTAGTAATTCTTTTTCATTTTTCATCGATAATCCTTTTTTATTACCATTGTAACGCTGCAATCATTGTGCAATTAGTTCCTAGACTAGTACTTGTATTTCTAATAAACCACATTGAATATAATTGATTCGAATTGATTGGCGGAAGTGGTAACCATAATAGTAATGCAATCAAAACGACCCCTCGTCTGCAATGGGCATATCACTATGAACATGCTGGACAAACAAAGAGGACAAAATATACAGTTCCTCAGGTAGACAAAGGAACATCCCTTCACTGGTATTATATAAAAATGTGTAGAACAGGTGTCACATGCATATTCACCTGTTCCACACATTTTTACATAATAGCAGCGAAGGGATGTTCCTTTGTCTACATGAGGAACAGTATATTTTGTCCTCTTTCTTTGTCCGTAATATTCATAGTGTATATAGCCTGATTGCATCACTCTAAACCCCGCGCATGGATATATTTTGATGGCAAATGCAGCGATACAAAAATAAAGGAATCTGTCGCTTTTAAACAAAATAAGACGCCATTGTATATTCAGCTGCACACACCGCGGTATGTTCGGCGTTTCAAGAGGGAACACATAATGTTTTTAATATCATTCCGGGGGGTTTTCAATTTGAAAGTCTGGTTTCTTTGATTGTTAATTAACCCCTACCCTGTGTATTTACAAACAAACGATTTTAGTTATCAGAATCGGTTTCATAGCCTCCTTTGAATGGTTTGAAATGCCATCACATTTATATACACTAAACTCATTATAATTTGTGAAATAATAGCTTTGCAATTATGTTCATTCTTTATGGGATGTCATCTACTTGGGCTGTATTGGTCCATGATGTGACGTCATTAAAACATCGTTATTTTTCTGGCGAATCTTTCGTATATTCTAGATGCTATGGAGGTGGTTGCATTTGTATTTTTAGAAATCATCGGATATGTAGTTGGCCTAAAACTTGTACGGTGGCTATCTGTTATCTTACCAGTTTCTAGTGATACATTATTTGACATATTTGTGATTTTCTTTGAATTTCCACTTTAACATAAACGGGGCACTTATCAGAGATTGAAAGGGGTAATTACGAGAAAGGTAAGGGGTACTTATAAGAAGGAAAAAGAACATTTAATATTAGAAAGGAAAAGGAGCACGTGTCAAAATAGAAGGGGCAGCTATTAGAGCTAAACAGGGGTACTCATCAGAGAGTAAAAGAGCAGTTATCAGGAGGGGAAGAGGGACACTTGTCAAAGTAATACGAGCGTCTCTCAGATTTGAAAAGGGGCGAATATCGGAGGTGAAGGGGGCACTTATTTGAAGTGAAAAAAAGTAACTTCTCGTACCCGAAAAGGGTCATTTACCAGAGATGAAAAGGGGCTCTTATGAGAATGAAAAGGGACAATTTTCATCATAGAAAAAGGGGCATTTATGATAAGGGGAAGGAGCTCTTTTTTAACGGGGGCACCTATAAGGAAAAGCAGCCGTTATTAGAAAGGGAAAAGGGGGCACTTGTAAAATTAAAAAACTGCGGATTCAGAGAGTCATGACGGAATTCGGAGAAATTCTTAACTGACATGAACTACGGAGCATGCATTTTTTTGTGTAATAGTAGGCCTACACCTGTGGTAAGGCAAAACATTTAGTTATGAACAACAAAAAACAATTACCTCTTAATTTTTAGTATTCACATTTTTTCTTAAACAAAAACAGTGCTGTTCTTATATTAATAATAATTTATTATATTTTCTTAAAAGGTTCAACGTACGCAAAAGTCAAAAGTAGTTAATACTTACGATAGAGGAGAAACGCCGAGAAAATGAAAGGTCGGTTTTCATCTGCAGGGACGGTATTAAGACTTGATGGTATACTGATAGACACTATATTCTCCCTCTTTAACTCGGCCAACACATGCACGGTACAAATCGACTCTTCTCCGGTGTCCACTATTTCAACATTGGGTGTGTTGCTGATTTTCAAGAGAAACGGGTCAGGCCTGGATCCTTGAGAATCCCTGGCAATCACTCCAGCTCGATGAATAATGAATAAATAAGTACCGTCATCATTGATCTTGATCCCATCTTGCGATATGATGAAACTGGCCGCTGAGCCTCGCTCAACCACGGGATCGGTTGTAAACATAAAATCTCCGGCTGGTAATGAAATGAAATAAATCTAAATAGGTTAACGTTCGTCCAAAGTATAGATTTTGTGAGTAAAGGATAAAACATGAATCAATTAATAACCAAGACGTTGTTAAATCACACCCAAATAAAACTCAGGATCCTAATTTTTTTCAAAGTCGTTTACGTGAAGAAAAAAATGGCATCACATTTTAAAAACATGCCTTTGTCCCATTTTTACTCGGTCATAAACCAAAAGCGACGAGACGAGACTTATTGCTATTCATTTTCATGTTTTGGCTGAGAAAAGCAGTCTTGAAAAGACAGTTTTCAAACTGTAGGCCTATCTTTATTGATAAGCGTTTACCTAGCTTTGAGCTATTACATTTACGTGCTACAGTCACGATGCCTACATGGATAAAGTAGTTGATGCTAAGTCGGACTATTTTAATTTCAACACCTAACAATAAGTAATTCATGCAATTCCTATTCTAACTATAATGTGAACAATGGAATACTAATAATGAGTAACTGTGTTAGGCATCAATAAGATACTTTAGGCTTTGATTTTGTGGAAAACGACACGAAATTTATTTTTAAAATGTCTTTTGGAGTAGGCCTTATATCATAAAGCACGGGTGGCCAACCTTTTAAAGCTCGCGGGCCACAGATAACGGTTGGCATAACTTAGTGGGCCGTAGGTAGTCTTCTTATAGAATTATGGAAATAGAGATAGCTGTATGTAAATGGTTTACCCTATTTCATCGCCGCTATGCGGGCCGCATTTCATTAATAAGCTATTTTTTTATAATTACATTTTCAATGCTCCGTCGGCCGCACCAGAAGAGGTCGCGGGCCGCGGGTTGGCCACCCGTACTTGTCATAAACCCTAATCATACTCAATACGACATCTCAGTTAGATATACATTTGAACTTCTTAGGTTAACTTAGTGCATTCACCTGATGCTGTGAAACCTTTGTCCACGATACACAACCCGAAGTCATTCAGGAACTGCGACGTAGCTACGCCTTCTCTCACGATCATTAGCATCAAGGTGCATAGAAGCATGTAGGATGGTCCACTCGCCATTCTGAGTAACAAAAACAAAACAAAAAACAAAAAAGTCATGAATAATTTTCATTATTTAGAGTGTCATAAATTATAATAAACTATCTACTTCCAATACACAAAGAAAATTGTAAAACGCCACGCAAATCATCAAACGATATTTCAAAGCAGGGACGTGATAGAGAAGGACTGGAATCAAGCCGCTCTCCTTTCACCCAATGCTCCAAGCCGCCGAAAAGTTATGCGCTAATCTGCAACCGTTGACCAGGTGGTGAGATAAAAGAGCGCATGAATTTCAGGATTTAGAATTCCTATACATCAGAAAATGGTATCACAGCAACTGTTCGCTGTCCCTGTCAATGATTTCTCATCCATTGTTGAATGTGTAAAGAGGAGAACAAGCGAACACAAACTTGTGTAATTTCATCCTTTTTTTAACTTCAAAAATACAACAAAAACACGCAAAAACACGCATTAGCAAACTTAATGTTATTGAAGATTGTAAATCATGGATCAAATAACGGGACATTAAAACATGCACAAATTAGCGCATCATCCTAAAATATTGAGTTTTTGACAGGATGTAATTTTTCTTTTACCAACTCTGGCACACAAATTAAAGGAAGGACGGAGTTCTAAATTTGAAAATTTGTTTGATGCACTATTCCCAATACAATCCCCATGTAAAATGTTTGATTTACACTGAAATTGTGCCTGTAATTCAATATTTTGTAATAAATGTAAAACTGGTGCCTGGCTTCCGAAAGTCCCCGCAGTGCAAGCGTGGTTTGGAGCATGGAACTTCAAAGCCAAGTGAAATGTTACACATCCCATCGTTACGCTTTTACTCACGAATGCGTTTGAATAAATTACAAGAGTTTCGCCGGCTTGATTCCAGTCCTTCTCTATCACGTCCCTGTTCAAAGTTTAGTTTAAATATCCCAATGTCCTCAATTTGCACTATAGTCTATACCTTGTAATTAATCTACACCTTTATTAAAGGGTCACCCTGACCCAACTAACATAGCCTTTTAAAACATGAATACACCTCTACTTATGAATATTCCAGCCTCTGATTTTTCAGAAAATCTCTGTATTGACCAAAAAATGATAATACCCATCCATTTTTCACAGTTCTCATGCTTGCTGCGCTACGCCTCTCGAAAAAAGAGTAATACGGTCACATAGCATTGATGACGCATTTGACGTCAGTGCGGGCATGTCCGATTTGTCCTACAACTAAGGATCTTACAATCTCATTGTAATTCATGAATGAAACGTACTGGGATTATCAAGTGCATATTATTTTTCGGATAAATTTCTTTTTTTTTTCTTCTTCAGTTAATACATAGTTTGCCTTTTAAAAAACATTTAATGCCTAATCATCGCAGAAGCTCCTGCAGTGACGTCATAAACAGTTGCGCCATACAGCTCCGAAACTGGGATTTTTTTCTGATCCTTCTGAGTCGTCATTTTTAAAGCTAGATTACAGAATTATTGATGATTTCTAAGAAAAATCATTGTCTTGTTCGGAATCTCCGTCAAAAATTATTCTACGTGTCCGTTTTTCGGATGGTGACGTTTAAAGGTCGGTCCCCAGACGTAAATAATCTGTTAAAACCCAACACACACACACACACACACACACACATACACCCACACACATCGTATACTGCGTAATTCAAGATGGAATCTCAAAAATGCATCTTTCAAAGATTGGCAATTATAATGATATTAATGATTACAATAAATAATAATATCTAACAGAGTTGGATTCAATCGCTGATATTAAACTTTTTTTAAAGGGAGATTTTAACGGAACCCCAAAATGATGATTACAAATCCAAAAATTTCCCCCGACATCGTGTTATTTACTAACCACGGAGGGAAAAAGTGAAGTATCTTATATTAAAATGAGCTGGAACAGATTTGTCTTACCTTAAATCCAGTGTGATGCTTTATTATAGTTGAAAAATCGATTTGAAAAACGCCTTGCTGATTTCCCCAGACTGCTAGGTTATCGTGCTCTTGGAGGTGTCTCGTGTGTCTCACAACGTACATTACAGAGGCGTCAGATCGTGAGGTATTATGCAAATTACTTGAATATTTTATTCAAATGAAAAATCTGGAGATCCAAGAGGATGGCATTTGAAAACAATCGCTTCAGTAAACAAGTTAAAAAAGCATTCAAGTGATGGACATTTTACGCTCAGTGCCGTTTCATGGGTCTATTAATAGGGGCACCGGGCATGTACTGCGATCATGGGGGGGGGGGGGGGTTCTAGAAGGATCGAAATGCAAACAAAGAAGTTTCAAAGCCATCGATTAGGGGATGATATGTAATAGGGTCCAATACTTTTTTCTCGAATTTCCTTTCCCCTTCTCCCTGTCCTCCCTGTCCTCTTCCCCTTTTCTCATGGGGGGGGGGGGGGGTGCCTTTCTTACCCTGTTATGTCTAGATTTATCGCTGTCGACAATGTCTACATGCATGCCTTCTCAAACAACATGTTTGTATATCCGAAAAAGCATCGACTAATTAAAGTACATAGTTCCTTAATGCGGGACTGCACTATTTACAGCTTATTGCACCCTTTATACAGCAACCGATTCCTAAGCGATACCCGTTGATCCCTCGTGACCCCCTATTTCTTATGATAATTGAGAGCTGATTTGAGGAAAAAAAAAAAAAAACCTGTAAGTGACTTCGCAGGAAGGTCTAATCCCTCCTTGCCAAACTAGTGCAGATAGGTTTAAAACATAGGCCCTACATAGCAAGTTAATTCGAAATGCTTTTAGCCTAGTTTTGAAAAAGTTCAATTTGTTTTGATTTGATTTGCATACTTAGACTTTACAAAAGGAAAATGAAATGAAATACATTCATTATGAAAATTAAATGAATATTTTTTTCAACTTGCGTCGGGCCTACATACTTTCTGAATGTAAAAGAGTCGTGGCACCCGTTTGTTTGTCCGAAACCTCTCCGACCCGCTCCCCCCTACTCAGTGTTATTTAGGGTACGCATATGCGTGTTCCCAGCACCCCCCCCCCCCTTCAGCATAAGTCCGGTGTGTAAAGTCAATACGGGTAGATCTTTTTCTTTTGTTATACGAGCGTTTTTAGCAACCCCCTTTCAGCATAAGTCAAGTGTGTAAAGTCAATACGGGTAGATCTTTTTCTTTGTTACGAGCCAGAGATTTTGGAAACACGCATGCGGTCCCTCCGTTCCCGGAATGGGGGCCGGGCTCTCCGACATCAGTCTACGATTTGGATTCCATTTAAACAGATGGTAATAAACACAATGAGCAAATTGTTAAATGAGCTCGTTATTGAGCACACGCATGAATTAATAGGTCATATTCGAAATGGCACATATTCTTAAGTTCCTCGTTACGTATTATTTCATTCCCGGGTTTCATTCACCTGTTACGAATAATTGTATTTCAATAGTCAGAATGCAAATTGGATACATTTCGCGTTGTTAGGTTGGGCAAGCCAAGTTTATCCTACCAAGCAAAAATGTGTGCAATTCGCATTCTGACAAGCAACCAATATCTGTAGCTATTATGCCATACTTGCGGACATTAACATATCTAGAAAGCTAATAATCAAGTAATCGAAGTCTGCTATTAGGCATATTTCCCATCTCCAAGCAACATAACGGTTAGTGTACTCCTGACTCAACAAAAGAGGTCTCGATAGTCAGCGGTCGGTCAGTTGGCTCATCGGGAGATCTCGTCCGGTCGGGTGGTTAAAATAGGGACTTTTAGATCTGCGTGGACTGATACGTGTGACGTCCATTCAAGGCAGTGCAATAATAATCCCCATTGTCTTCGTGCGAATCTAAAAGTCCCTATTGTTAAAATGGACAGCAACGATGAGACCAAAAAGAAATGGTCTGTTTCGAACCCCTCCAGACGTTCAAACAAACTCCCTGCAGGATAGTAAACAATTATCCCCAAGAATATCATCACAACCTGCGCCAATTATTGTCAAATTCCAATCATACAGGAAGAGAAGTGAAGTTCTGGCCAGCAGACGTAAGCTTGCCGGCACACGAAAGTCGATTCAAGAGGACTTGACCAAAGAAAACGCGAGGCTGCTGAAGGCGACCCGGGACAGTAAAGACGTCAAGGCTGCGTGGACCAGGGATGAGCGAGTTATTGCCCTTGTCCCTGCCACAAACGGCAAAGAACTAAAAAGGACGATCAACTCTCTCGAAGACTTGAACAATTAACAGTGAACTTACTAGTTACTACATTGTCTTGCCATGGTCAGATAACCATGTCTGGTTTTAAGTGTGCTATTTATTTACAGTTTGTTCTTTGTTGACATGCTTTGTTTTTTGTATCTTGTATCTTATATACTTTTTTTTCTTCATTATACTTGATGTTACAATTTTCCTTGTTTTTCATTGCCCTTCTCTTCATTCCCCATTTCTGAGTCTATCCCAGTTTCCTTTTCCCATATCCCCTTTTCTCAGTACCCTACATGAATTGCTGAATATGAGTTTATTTCACCTTATGCAGTTTTTTTTGTCACGTTTTCTCCTTTCTTGCATGTTTGTCTGTATTGCCAGCCACCTACTATACAATATTTCCATGTAATGTTGCACATTCAGTATCAATATGGCTCAAATGGATGATGAAATTTGTAGATTTTATGAAGACAATATGAGCAATTTATATGACGGTTATGATATCCCTATTGTAATTATCATACAGAAGATCAATTTTTTGAAACAGCATCTAAATATAATCATGTGAACAGTGGCTTAACTCTTCTTCATATAAACATGCGTAGTGTTTGTAAGAATTTTGACAAAATGTTAAGATTCATTGATAATATCAATCTAGGACGTGTAATACTTGGTGTCACTGAGACATGGTTTACGAGTGAAGCCGATAGGAGCCTTTTTTCTATTTCTGGTTTTAATCTTGTGAACAACAATAGAGAAAGTAGACGTGGAGGAGGTGTTGTTTTGTATCTTCCTTCCCAAGTAGAATACCAGATACATCACGATCTTGATATAATGTCAGATCATATAGAAACTATTTTTGTTGAGATTGATAACCCTGGTCAAAAGAATCATTTTATAGGAGTTATATATAGGCCCCCAAATGGTAACTTTAATGATTTTGTAAATGAAATTCAGTCAATTTTAGACAATCCACTTTTAGTTGGAAAGTCACTCTATCTTATAGGAGACTGTAATTTGAATTTATTACTTTGTAATAACGATAATCGAATTGATGTTTTTCTAAACATGTTATGTCTTTCTCATTATTGCCCCTAATCACTAAGCCAAACGCAGCGAAAGTTCCTCATGCACTAAAAGTGCTACGGTGTGTCTGCGTGCTCCCAAATCCGTACGGAGGCGGTACTCATCACGTATGGATACCCAAATTTTGCCCACGTTTTTGCACGTAGACAGCACGCACTTGCAAGTACGGCGGGATGTGACCACCGCGTTAGTGGGGCAAAATATACATGTAGTGAATGTGAAAGTACTTATGAAGATATTGTCCAAGCATTGGAACCTACATCTACCAATAATTGTATTTACTTTATATTTCATATGGTCTAAAGGTACTAAGACCCATTTGCAGTTCAACACAGTGGCGGATCCAGGGGGGGGGGGGGGAGAGAGAGAGGCCGGGGGCCCGCCCCCCCCCCCCTGGCAAAAAAAGAAGGAAAAATGAAAGGAAAAAAAAAGAAGTGAAACAAAAGAAGGTAATAAAAGGGGAAAGATATCAAATGTATCAAAATATGCTCATCAGACCGTAATTAAATGCCTAAAACCCGTTGACTTCCGATGGCTCTGCCCCCTGGACCCCACCTAGGGCCCTAAGGCGGCCGGCTAGATGCTAATCTGACGGTAATTTAATGCTTAAAACCCCTCAGCTTCTGGGGTCTCGGCCCCCTGGACCTCACGCCAATTAGTGTCCTGCCAGTGTCACAAATAAGGTATACAAATATACTCATCTGACCGTAATTTATTGCCCAAAACCCCTGAGCTTCCGGTAGTTCTACCCCCGGACCCCACCTAGGGCCCTAAGGTGGACGGCTGGATGCTAATCTGACGGTAATCTATTGCCTAACACCCCTGAGCCTCCGGGGGCTCCGCCCCCGGACCCAACATCAATTTCGTGTCCTGTCAGTGTCACAAATAAGGTATAAAATATGCTCATCTGACGATAATTTAATGTATAACACCCATGAGCTTCTGGGGGCTCCGTCCCCCAGGTGCGGATCCAGGATTTGTTAGGGGGGGGGGGAGGGGGCCAAATTTTTGCGAGACAAATTTTTGTACGTAATGGTGACCAGCAGTGACGTAATAAGCAAAAACGTTTGGGTGGCAGACAAACAATTCGCATCCCTAGGGTGGGGGGGGGGAGGGGCGAGTTTCCCCCTCCCTCATACGCGAAGCTTTGACGTTTCATTAACTCATAGCCTGCCATGAGGCTGCATTAGAGGGCGCTGCACTGTGGCGACCACCACTGGTTTTTTTATGTTCTCATCTTTTCGTGTTTTTTTTCCTGATTTCGTCGTACTTTTGTCTGTTTTTCGCTATTGTCATCGTGTCATCATGCCTTCTACATGTGTTTCTTCATTACTGATCCGGATATTTTTAGCAATTCTACTAATTTCACGGCTTTTTACGAATGTTCACTGTCAGGACCACGCCCAACATGCTCAAGGTTCCATTACTTACACGCGTACCGAACTGTTGAGCTACCGGCCCGCCCAGGCCCCGGGTAGCAAACCACGTGGTTTCGCCGATTTCCCGCGTGAAATTCTACCACGGAAAAGAGGAAAGAAAGGTGGGGTTCGACAGCGAGTGAGGAAACGAGGATTTAAACCACCGTTGCCTTCTATCGTTTTTGGTAATGTCAGATCCCTACCCAACAAAATTGACGAACTCCGTGCAAATATACGTTTTCTTCATGAGTATAGAGAATCGTGCCTTCTGTGCTTCACGGAAACATGGCTCCACGAGAATATCCCGGACCGGACAGCGCCATAGACATTGGAGATTACGAGATTATAAGAG